TCCTCCTGAGGTGTGGCCAGATCTGCATCCATATTCACACATTTGTCACATCCTCATAAGATCAGCGAGCAAAATGGAACAGAAGTGTTTGCACTGAAGGGTCTTTCTAACACTGTCTTTAACGACCAAACCAAAGGAGCTTTGATTACAAGACCAAATGTGTTTCTAAAAGATAAACAAATCACTGTTTCCTGTGGGGGTTTGGTGTCTGATAGAAATCTTATTCATTTACACAAAGACAGATTGAGAGAAATCTTTCCACTATATAAATTTCCATCACAGGATGATTCAGAGTCATTTCAACGCTGGATCCTTTGCTCCAGGACCTCTACATTTCATCTGTTGTCCACTGCTGCTGGAGAATAGGTTGGACCAAAATGGGAGAAATGGGGATAAAATCTGATGTAAATTGATGAAAAAGGAAATGTGGGAACATAAGGCCTAATTGTGGTAAGAAAAGAAAAAAGAAAGAAAACTACTTAGAAATGAGGGAACATAAGGCTGAGGGGACATAGGCACACTCCCCTATAAAGAGGGTTTGAAAAGGGACCCCTCTTTAAAGAAAACATGAAACTCAAAACTTCCCATATGTAAAATCCTCCAGCTAAGGTCATCTCGAACAAACCTCGCAACAAAATCCACCCCTGCTCCTGAGGAGATACCCCAACCACATCAAACAGGAGGTCATATTCAGAGGACACTTTTCTTGATGGTAGTGTGAAAAGATTCTCAAAATTCTAAACTGGGACACACCCGGGTTGGGATGGTTGGTATGAATAAAATTGGTACTAAATTAGATTAATCCGGACTGAATAAAGGTGTGAATAAAATTGTGAAAAGAGCGTGTAAGGTTGTGCATTCTCATGTCAGTGATAATCTGAGGAAGTTCTGACGTTGCTTTTTTTTTTTTAATGGTCATTTGCAAACACAATTTTCTGTATTTTGACAAAACAAATGACAATTTATGCTTCTATTTACTGTTGGCAAGGATCAGATTAGTCAAAAATTGTGATAGTCCTGTTTTAGTTCTGGTTTAGACTAGCCTGATTCACTGATTTCACTTTGAGGAAACCGTCTGACCTCGCAGCATTAGAATTTGTTCACTAGACAATAGGCAGGTACTTTTTTTTTATTTAACCAGTCGCTGTTATTGGTCGTGATGTATGTAATACACCGCTAACGGGGTAACTGGTAAATTAAGTTTTTCCCAAATCCTTTAGGAAGAAGGACAATAACGTCTTTCCTCTTGATTAAATTCACCAAACATTCTCTTTGTTCAGGCTTTAAATCCTCGATGTCAGGAATAGTTGACATCACAGAATATGTCTCTTCACTGATTGGCTGGTGCCCGAACTCACACTTCCGGGTTCTTGCAAATCGTCTAGTGTATTCTGATTCCTGACCTAGTCACTGGAGAGAAATGAAATTGAGTGGAGGCACTAGGTGGCGTCAGCCTGGCTAAACTTGGGGGATTTCTGATGCTGCATTATTTTTGTTTTATGGTCATTTACAAACACGGTTTTCTGTATTTTGGCCAAAAAATCAGAAATTATTCTCAGCAAAAACATCGGTTTCACAAAAAATCTGAATTTAGCATTAAGCCCTGCAGTCTGAACGCAGCCTAAGTTAAAATTAACAGTTTTTGTGAGGCGCTTAATGTGTTTCTAAAATGTTAATGTTGAGTCCAACGTTATTAGTTTTACTACCTGATTTTTGATACTTTTGACAACCTGCGACTGACGTATCACAAAGAATCAGCACTAGTTTCTAACCTGGAAATCCGCGGACTTGTTTCTTTTATTAAGTCATTTTAGATGAGTATTGTGATCAATATTATGATTTAAAATGTCTAAATTCTAGCATAATGATCCACGGGTGTCATCGATTATAACGAGAGAGCAGACAAAAACACTAGATGTCTTCTTTAAATGTCATGAAAACAAATACAAAAAATTCCTTCATCGACTTCCATTATTATTATTTGACCGAGAAATATTTCCTGAATTGCGACAGGAGATGAGGTATTCTACTCTGCCTCTTTCTCTGCCAATACTGGTGCTTTTCTTTCATAGTGACCCAGGAATTATACCCATCCGGCCGCTGCTGCTGCTGTGGGCCCGCTGACATGACTTATGGGCTCGGACTATTTCCTGAGAGCGCTGCCAGGGACATGATTTAGACAGATCACACTTCGGGGGCGGAGGGCTTCACGGACACTGTTCAAACTGAAGACCACGACACAGGAATTCAACCTGCACCAGTCACCTACCAGCCACATTTCCAACATGGCAACCACAAGTTTTCACTCACCTGTTGTGGAGATGAGGCTGTTTTTCATGGCAAGAACCAGAGAGAGGAATAGAGAGAGAAAGATGACAGGTATTGCTTTAAAGGGGTAGAGTGTAAAAGTATGTGTTAGTAGAAGTAGAGTCTTTTGGCGTTAATAGAAGTGACACTGTGGCTGGTTGTGGAAAAATATGTAAAACTCTGAGCTCTTGTAGCAGATGTGGTTTTCACATTAAAATATTTTTAATACAAGTTTTAAGTAGTTGTACCTTTTTTAAAAAAAATTTAACGTATTTTTTAGCCTATAATTTGCACTTTTTTTCATGGTTGGATGTTTCCTGTGACTTATACTCAGGTGCGACTTGAATATTAAAATATATAATTTCACAGGTTCATTATTTTCACACTGAAGCGGTGAGAGGTTCTAGTCTTGTGTGTGAGTATCTGCTGCTCCTGTTCCTCCTGTACCACTGTCACTTCACTCTACTGCACATGTCTCCTGCAGAAAGAGCCTCTGTCCTGTCTGTATCATGTCAGTGTCTCGTAGGATTTCAGCAGGTGTATTGATCAGGTATGAGTGGATGTTCGGCTTCTGAAGTTTGAGACGTTAACACATACAAGTCATTAAGACGTGTCCCACTCACTAATGTTCATTTAGCATCAAAACTTATTTTATCACACAGTGATAAACTGTTAATCATATTTTGCAGATTACAAGCTGCAGCCAAAAACAATAATCGAGCAGCAGAAAAGTTTGGAGTGAGCGAGAAACTTGTGAGGGACTGACGAAAAGCAGAGGATGCTCTAACTGCAATGAAGAAAACAAAAAAATATGACATCGAGGATGAAGAATTGAATGGATTTAGTGATTTGGAGTGAGATGGAGAGTTTGGTTAAACTTGTTCTGTTCTGTTGTTTATGTTATATTTATCTGAAGAACTGTTCATATGTGACGTTAACAGTCTGTTGTTCTCTCTTCTGTTGTTATTACCAGAACTTGACTTTTAACAGGAAATGTCGATTCCTGGTCTCTGATTTTATCAAATAAATTTCCCTGAAAAAGTGAAACTTACAGTCCAGTGCAACTTATATCTGTTTTTTTCTTCTTCATTACACATTTTTTGGCTGGTGTGATTTCGGAGCAAATTATAGTCTGAAAAATACTGTAAAAAAGTCAAATTTGTCTTGCCCAGTACAGAGAGATTTGGCCTGGCAAGTTCAGAGTGTTACATTGCGGGCTGAGTCAAACACGATCGCCCAAACTGATTTTTTATTTTTTTTTCCAGCAACACATGTGAAACAAAGCAGCTCATTGGTCGTATTTATAAATAAAATCAAATTTGCGTCACCTCAGATGAACAGAGTTTAGTGCTTTGCTCATAGATTTTACAGAAACGTGCCTTGCCTTGTTTTTCAGTCCCGTGTGCCATATGGACTCCACTGTCCCGCCCACTTCCAGGTTCCAGGAATACATTTCCATTCATTTTTCCCACAGACTCTTAAAAAAATTCAAATATTAGGAGTTCAAAGACATCGTGGAGGATAACCAAGTGGTGACTACCCACAGCACGGTTGTTTTAACTCCAAAAAGCACTTTTAAAACACAAGAATTCACAGTTTATAAAGATTCAGAAACAGATACTTTTACTTCTTCTTGAGTAATATTTTCACTGAAGTACCAGTACTTTTACTTGAATAAAAGTTGTGTTTCCTCTTCTCACTGTAAGTCTAAAGTGACAAAAGCTTTACGTGACAATATAAAATGATTTGAACATTTGTGTTTCTTGCAGCTCCTTCAGATATGATTTAGTTTGTCTCATTTTTGTCTAAATTTTGTCTATTATTTGAAAATACCAAATCTTATGCACTGTGTAACTTTTGTAGTGGATCGTTTATCAAAAGTTTTTCTCCATTGAGGTGTTATTCCTTTGTCTGGAATGTTTCACAGACCAAACCAGACCCCGCTCACAGAATGTCTGTTTTTCTAGATATTTTTGAGCTATAAAATCATCTGTAACTGAATAAATGTAAAGTAGAACTGTTTAATGTCACACTGTGGAACATTCCAGACAGAGCAATGACATCTCCATAGAAACAAGCAGATGATGGACCCCCAACCAAAAACTTACTTTTCCCAAATACTTTTTAACCCTTACTTGAGTAATTTCTTGGAACACTACTTGGTACTTCTACATGAATAATATTCTTATTCTTTCTTGACTAAAATTTTGGGTTTATCTATCACCTCTGCTTATTAAAGATAAAGCCCCAAATATATATATATATACTTTTTCCTCTGCTTATCTAGGCCGGGTTGTGGGGGCAGCAGTCTAAGCAATACATTTTGTGAGTTCTTATTTCCAGTCCAATCCAACTTTATTCGTAGAGCAGGTTTTATAAAGAAAGTTTCCAAAGTGTAAAACATTTAACTCTAAAAAATCAGCAGAATTATGTTCCAAACCAAAGGAACTAATACAATCAATAGATAAGAGTAATTATAAAATTAATGAATAAAAATAATAAAAGCAATAAATAAAAACAATACTTAAAAGAATAAAATAGGTAAAAACAATTTTAAAAAGACACAGAGGAGCACACAACTCCCATGGTGTTAAAATCTAGAGAATAAAAGTGTGTCTTAAAACGACACTTAAAACTCTCCACTGTGAGGTCTGTTTATATCACATTAAAAAAAATAAGAGCACACAAAGACATTCCTAAAAAAGAGAAATTTATTGATTTTAATACATGGCCGGTTTGTAGTGAATTTACATTCAGCTTTACAGTTCATACAAGAATCTCCCACCACGTTCAAAATACACAAATATACAAGGTTTAGTGCCCACCTTTCTCCCAAACTCTTCTTTAAGTTAAAACACTACTTCCTTTTGCACCATAGCATACAATGATATCCCGGTGTTACTATCAGCTAAGTATAAGTTAAAAATATTATAGATTAAAGAATCGATATTACGCTATTTTCTGATCTATGTTATAAAGTTGTTTCCTCATCACAAACTGAACTGGAGTTGTGTTTTTTTGCTTCATTCACACATGTTTAATGCACAAACCCTGCAGATTTTCGATGAGTACTTCCCTCAAACAGAAAACACCGTTCCAATTTGTGATGTCATGTAGTAAAACAGGAAGTGCACCACTGTGTTTTTAAATTCCATACACTTTTAAGGTCCCGTCCACAGTTCTCCTGTAGTTCGTATTCGAGTTATTTTCGTTGTGGATGCAGTGTTCGTCCACACTAATCCGATTGAAAACGGCTCCAGAGATGGAACAATCTGGTGCCTCCAGCTCCCACGAATTCATCTGAGTACAGATCTGATCCGGCACCGTGCGGACGCCTGAAAACGCTGATACACTCATGTAGGTCTATGCGCCTCGAAGTAATTCACGGCCAAAGCGCAAAACAAAAAGAGGGTAGAATATATGTCCATTCATATACCGTATATTCTGGGCTATAAGACGCGCTCTTAAGCCTCTAACCGCATCAAAACAACGACTGCGTGCCCCACGATCCAGAGCACCTTATACACGAATCCACTCAGGTGTCCCAGCACGACTTCAGTAAACTACAAAGCCACACCACCCACAGAACACACAAACACACATGGAGCAGACAGCGACTGCACAGAGAAACACACCCACAGACACAATCATCACTCCACGCCGACAAGGAACGGAACGGAGGAACGAACCAAAAAAGTAAGCGCTATGTGCCACTTCTAGACACAACTGGACAACTGAGTCACTGCGAACACGCCGACAATCCGTTGGTCCCAGACACACCCTCCCTACACACCACAACTGAACAAAGCCCAGAGTCACTGTGAACGAAACAAACAAACAAAACCACTCACCCATCACACTGTTGTGTTTCCTTTAAAGTCCGATGCGGTTTATTTGTAAAAAAATAGACCGTTTAATGACAGTGCATTTTATAATCCAGAGGGCCTAATAGTGCGGAAAATACGGTATACGGTCTGTGCGTACGATCTGCAGACGTATAATCTCTCAAAAGTTTAACATGAAACATCTTCAACGCGATAGAAACACAGAACAGACTCACCATCAGCAGAACATCCTCTGTCACAGAAAGAACACTCATATTGCTCTGAGTCGTGTCCTTTAGTCCGACAGAAGCTGAACCACATCAGCGCACAAGGAGCGAGCTGTTTTTTGAGCGTTCAGTTTATGCAAATGAGCCATGTGGTTTTAAGTTTTGTTTATTTAAAATGCTCAAAGCTGTGTGGATAGGGAAAGCTTGCGGACACAGAAACGATGCGTCTGGACGCAAAACGTTTCCGATATGGTGACTTGGATTTGTTTCGGTGTCAACGTAGTCTAAGAGCATCATTTGGATATTTTCAGCTCTGGAATTGTCAATCTCTACTGAACACAAGGTAAAACGAAATTAAAAAACTACCGCTTCATGACATCACAAGGTAGAACAGAGCATTTTTGAGCTTTGGAGATGTAGACAGACTAATAATAAACAGTTACTCAAACAAAACACAACTCCAGGTCTGTTTTTGACGAGGTAACGACATTCTAACATGACTAAAAGCTCACAAGAGTTCATTTTGCGTAATATAAGACCTTAAAGTAAACAGCTTGTCGTTCATTCACTTAACACACAAATGGCACAAAGATAATTCCATGCAAAAAAAAATAAAAAAATTAAACATTTCAATTTCCCAGATTTTCCGAATTCACTGGAAACACCAAAGTGACTCACCAGACTGGAGAGTTCAAAACATTTTTCCAGACCCAAAAAATTCATGACCCAATACTGCGGTACAGTTACAGAGAGCCCACAGAGGCCAAGATGTTGGAGCTATCCGTTATAAAAAGGCAAGTACATTTTCAGTTTGGTATTTTTTTCATGTGGAGTTGTATGTGGTGCTCTGTGGGTCCAAATTCAGGAATCACAAGTTATGGAATTTGAAGTTTTTGAAGTTTATTTAGCTCAAAACGGGCCATTCTATGCAATTTGTGCCTAGTATTTTAGAATTTGATTTTAGAAATAGTATCATATCCTGTTTGGGTTTGCATTTTTGGTTTGAAAGTGGACAAACTGCAGCTCACACAGTCCCATCTCCTTCCTGTGTTCCCGGAGTAAAAATCCCATTCGTTTTTCCAATGGAATATTTTGGGAATTCTGAGTTCATTTATGATCTGTCTCTGATACTTTTCCAAACATTTAGCTTGAAAATGCACCATGCAACTTTGTGGTTTGTGTCTGTGGAGATATCCTAAGGAGATTTTATATGATTTCCCTGGAATGTACAACAGTATGGCTTTAAACTTGCTTATAATTTAATTCTAGGTGGTTTTACAATAAAAATATAGCTTGAAAAATATGCAATCTACTGTAAGCATGTCCGCCTCTCCACAGATCAGACCTGTACTCTGGCCTGGTGCTTGTCTCCATGGAAATAGATTTGTTTAATGCCATATTGTGAAACATTCCAGGCAAAGTAACAACTTCAACTTCAATAATTTCCATAGTGACGGAAAATTACACAGAGCACCTTTAACTTTTTAGTATTTTAGTTGTTTTGTTTTGACTGAAAATAATCCCATTTTAGACTACATCGTGCCTTTAATTGCTTAATGAGAAGTTCAAAATGAATGAGAAATTTACTTCAGGCATCGCAGTGAGACTGAGGCTACGTTCAGACTGCAGGACTTAACGCTCAATTCAGATTTTTTTGCGAGGTCGTTTGCATTTCCAGTTAAATGCGACTTGTGTGTGATCTCCAGTGTGAATTTTAAACGCCCAAAAAAGTGTCCCACATGCAACTGGGAGGACACAATGACGTCACACACAGCGAGTGTGCTCAGTGTTTACAGAAGTCGCCTAAATCAGGGGAGTCCAAACTTTTTCATCAAGGGCCACATATCTAAACACAGATGAAGCAGAGGGCCGATCGAGGGCCGTAGACTGGAGCTCAGTACAGTGAATAATTGAAATATGTGCATGTTTAACACGTTAGAAAGAATCATCAGTCTTTATTCATGCAAAGATCCTTAAAACCACACACTAAATATTAAAGATTAGCGTTATCAAGGTAGATTTTCAAAAAACTTGCAGTAAAAACTTAATTTTTAATTGGTGCAAGGTAATTTGGGCCAAATCACCTGGAAGACTGAGGGCCAAGAAAAATTCTGAGTCTGGATTTGGCCCACAGGCCATAGTTTGGACATACCTGACCTAAACGCTGGGCTTGTCTCTAAAAATCTGGTCCAATTCTTGGTAAAATGGACAGGTTACTCATCCACGACTGCTTCGTTTGTTTACGTCTTTAGCTTCCTTGTATTTGGCTCGCAGACTCTTGATTTTTCGTTGACATTGGAGCCAGGACCAGCTGAAGCCATGCTTGGACATTTCTTTGGCAATCATTTCAAAAATCGCCCGGTTCAGATAAGACTCCTCCAGTTTGACCTGAATACAGCGATCCCCCCAAATATTAATGAATTCGATAACGTCTCTTTCCCTCCAGTGACGAGACTCCGAGCCTGACGTGTAGGTGGGATGAATGTGACCTGACCGTTCAGACTGAAGTCACATGTCAAAAGATCAGATATGTATCGCTTTCAGGAGCACATATCCAAGTGTCCTGGGTCACATTTGAAAAAATCTGATCTATGTCGTTCAAACTCATTAAAAGTCATTAAAGATCAGATACAGGTCACAAAGGGGCGAAAAAATCTGATTTGGGTCACTTCAGGCTGCAGTCTGAACGTACCCTGACTTGTACTATGTAGCGTTTCTGGTGGAAGGTCTGTCTCCTGATTGTTTCCATGGAGATGTTATTGCTTCACCTGAGATGTTCCACAGTATGACATTAAACTTCTCTTAATTCCATGGAGAAAAACAAGTGGCAATAAAAACATCTGTAACTGAAAATACAGATAAATTTAATGCCAAACTGTGAATCATTCCATTATATCTCCATGGATACAAGCAGGTGAGGGGCCCTCCAACTAAAAAAAGTTACACAGTGCATCTTTAACACATTCTTAAAGGCGCTGTACCTGATTTTTTCCATGTGTTCTTAAGGCTCTTGAGGTAAAAATAAGTCTGCTGTGTGCTGTCTGTTCAGTGGGAATCAGGAACTGCGTGTTAGCATGCTTGTTGTAGTTAGTTTGCATTACGGTTGCGGCAAAACTGTGCTCTGGTTTATAAATGTTGTGAAAAGTGCTTGTAAACTCGTCACGGTGAATACGTAAGGTAAGTGAGGAAGAACTTTGAACGACTGCGAACTGTTTTAAATTGAGCTAGTTGTGTTTTTTCACATTTTTAAGACAGAAAAATCAGGTACAGCGCCTTTAACTTTATGAATATTCAAAATGAGTTCACGTAACCACATACAAATGCACTTCAAAAACTCCCAAACTTAACACTAGGGTCTCTAACATCAGCAATAACGTAGAAAATTCTCGAGCCAGCCTACGAAGTCATTGCAAACATCAGCGAAGTCAAACAAGGCAAGAAAAAGACGTAAAAAAAAAAAAAAAAGATACTGACAAGGTTCCGTTAAGAGTCTCTTAAGCAGCGTTGCACCGAGCAGAACCAGCACAGGAGCAGGACGGTGAGGAGTTCAGGCTGTGGATTCAAACAGGTCTGAACGTGTGTGCTTTGATATGTGACCGCGTCCAGAGTCCGACACACACGTTTGGTTTGTACAAGCACAACGTCCGCACGGCTCATACGAGGGTTTACATGCAGCAGAGACGGCGTTCGTGGAGAAAATAAAACAGATTTGACTGGTCCAAGTATAAATTAATATGTAGGTTTTGTAAAGTTCATAGTGATTTAGGAGGTGGCGCAGTGGTTTGTAATCTCGCCCCGCCGCAAGAAGGTCCCAAGTTGAGTTTCTAAACTATAAGTATAAGGCTTTTCGATTTGGAGTTTGGATGTTTCTAAACCTAACCTAAAACAGACATAGTACTTATATTCTAGTTAGATACTCCAGATCAGAATTTTGGCACAGATCTAAAGCAGGGATCTCCAACCTTTTGCATCCGGTGAGCTTCCTTTACAAAATGAAAATGCCAGAGAGCAATTAATTTTAGCGGTCGCAAGAAATTGAGTCGATATAAGAGGACAAACCTTAGATGTTGTACAGTTAGATGTTTCTAAAACGTAAAACCATTATCGATTCACTAGAGCACGAAGTTCAAAATGATACTTTTACAATGGTAATTAATAAGTATAATTCTGAAATCCCTTGGCGAGCTACTTGTAAGGGGGTGGAGAGCTACTGGTAGTCCCCGAGCAACAGGTTGGAGACTCCTGATCTAAAGTCACAATTTTTAGCACCTTATTCAAGATACTTTATCTAAGCCTAGTACTGCATATACAGCAAATGAATTTAACCTCCTCTAAAGCTCTCAGTTGTGTGCTGATCTTTTAGTGCAGTGTCTCTGTGGAGAGCAACGAATCATTTAATAGGTGCTTGAATTAAGTGGTATTTACAGTCCAAAGAGGTTAATTTAGTCTTCTGATAATTTAGGTTATTAGGTTCTTTCTTCAGGCCAAGAGTTTGTTTTCAGACCTGACATTTTTTGACTGCTCGTGGGGGTCAGGTGATGTTGCTGTGACGTGTTCGCTCAGCTGATTTCAACAGGTTCTGGCGCTGGCTTCCAACCGGTGGAGGCAGGACGACAGCGCCTGCAGTCCCACTTCCTCAGGACAGTAGCCCAGGTGTGTGAGAGTAACAAAGCCCCTTCGTCCCTGTTTACAGTCCAGTGGGCATGTTTCCATATTTCACTAGTGAGCAGTCGAAACTGTCAGGTATGAAAACAAACTCTTGGTCTGAAAAAAGAATCTAATATCATGAGTGGTATTTATCTTGAGTTCAGTATAGTTTGACTAGTTTTAAAATAAGATTGCCAAAGGAACGAGCTTAAAATGTCTCGTACTTCAAATAGTCTTCTTTTATTGGCAAATCTTATTTCAAGACTATTCAAAATTCATTTGAAAACTCTAGGTTAAAGCATTGTTTTATATGGACTTTTATTTAAAGGTACAGTATGTAACTTTCTGGAGGTGGTTTGTCACCTGCATGCTTCCATGGTAATAAAAAGTTCGAATAATACTATGGAAAATTCTCATTGTTGATGGATACGTTTGATGCCATTTTGTGGAATATTAGAGCCAAAGGAACCACATTCTCATGGAAACACAGAGGAGGCTGATGCACTGTTAGCATGCTAGTTGGTGTTAGCAGAGGCCAAACTCTGCCCTGTTCACTGAAAGTTGGGAAACTCTTTTGTATTTTTTGTCTAAAAGTTCCATACTGTGGCTTTAGATTGTGTTCTGGGACTGATGAGAACATCTCGTCTGCATGTAAACGTCAGCGACTGCACAAACACAACCGAACAATCTCACTCCAATGAACAGAGAAAGTTATCGAGCAGCAGAGTTACTCCGGGTGTGCAAACAACAGCGAGTGTGAGGGGGCGGAGTCTCGTATCGGACAGCGCGGGGGGGAGGGCGGGGCTTGCGGAGTCGTTCACAGTTTCTGGATATGCGTGAGGCGAGAGAGGGGGGGGTCGGGCGGGGGGAGGCGAGGCGGGGTGTCGCGGGGTTTAGAGCAGGGAGCAGTATCCCCCGCACCCGCCCCCGCCCGCGTCCTCGTCGCTCAGGGTGACGCTGCGGCCGTGGGTGTCGCTCTGCCACAGCCCGGGCGTCTGGATGATCTTCTCCACCAGCTCCTCGAACGCACACTGCACACCGTCTTTGGTCTTGGCGCTGGCCTCTGCGGGAGAAGCAGACAGAGTAAATGTTCGGTGGATTCTGCTCTGGGGAGAAGGACATTGGTTGATTTAAGAGTTTTACAATATGAGACCATAAAATGAGACGTGAAAGGTATAGGTGCACGAAATGAAGAATACTTTGAGGATAAATTATGAGCTGTGATCTGATTTAGGATCTCAGACGTTATTTAATCTGGGTTTTGTTTTGGTGACATAGTGGTTATACATGGTTTACTGTTTTAGCCCAGCTTGAAGAAGACGTGTAAAGTTTTTATAATTAAAAAGTAGTAAGTGATATCGGGATGGGCAATATATCATTTCCAGTAAAGGTATCAGCCAGAATTTTGCTATAAAATGGAAATAGAAAAGCATTAAATGACTGTATCTTTGACTGTATCTTTACACAAATATGTAACAAATGATTTTATCAAGAAAAAAGTATTTTTATTATTATTATTATTTTTTTTTTTTACAAAAGTGAAACTTCATTTGTGATCGTTACTACAACTTAACCCTTTCTCTTTTCTCTTTGTGTGTAGAAACCCTCCATATATCTTGGCAGAGACATGTATAAGCAGCAGAGTAAGTCAAGATTGATGTCAAAATTGCACTTTTAATGTTTCTGCTCGCCCTTGTATACTACGCATCTTTGGCGCAACAAAGAGTCTGTAAAGTCTGCAGAGTTTGACAGTGTCCTATAATGACTCTTTGAGAATACATTACATTAGTGAAAGGGCCGAGGTTTTGTAGTGCCAGTGAAATGTCTGAAAACTGTGGTGTGAAATCCTGTGTTGTCACGATTAGATCTTTTATTTATTCATTTATGTGTAGAGCCATGAATCTGAAGAATCTAATTATTTAAACTCTAGTGTGTCCTGTGAGGAGCTCTGTCACATTCACCTCTGAAATATGAAGACACTGGTGGTCTTGTCTTTATGAACCAGATATTGTGTTTCTTAATAAAGATTGCATTGGATTGGATTATGAATGCTAAATATCTTTATCAGCAAGCACTGGCCACAGCAACAGAAAAACATATTAGATATCAGTAACTGTTCAAAAACTATTTTTAATAGTTTTAAGTGAAGTACAGCAGGGGTCCCCAATCCCTGAGCAGGGTACTGGTACTTCACCAGGTCTAAACCAGGAAACCTAAAACCAGGTCTAAACTAAACCAGGACTAAACCAGGTCTAAACCAGGTCTAAACCAGGACTAAACCAGGACTAAACCAGGAGGTCTAAACCAGGTTCTAAACCAGGACTAAACCAGGTCTAAACCAGGTAAACCAGGTCTAAACCAGGTCTAAACCAGGTCTAAACCAGGACTAAACCAGGACTAAACCAGGTCTAAACCAGGTCTACTAAACCAGGAAACCAGGTCTAAACCAGGACTAAACCAGGTCTAAACCAGGTCTAAACCAGGTCTAAACCAGGACTAAACCAGGACTAAACCAGGTCTAAACCAGTTAAACCAGGTCTAAACCAGGACTAAACCAGGACTAAACCAGGACTAAACCAGGTCTAAACCAGGTCTAAACCAGGTCTAAACCAGGTCTAAACCAGGTCTAAAGGACTAAACCGGTCTAAAACCGGGTCTAAACCGGGTCTAAACCAGGTCTAAACCAGGTCTAAAACCAGGACTAAACCAAGACTAAAACAGGTCTAAAACCAGGACTAAACCAGGACTAAACCAGGACTAAACCAGGTCTAAACCAGGTCTAAACCAGGACTAAACCAGGTCTAAACCAGGTCTAAACCAGGACTAAACCATGCTGCGTGGACCGCCTCCTCCCATACGCCACCCACCACCCCGACCCCAAACCCCTCCAGTCCGTGAAATATTGTCTGATATAAAACCGATCTGTGGTGCAAAAACGGTTGGGGGCCACTGAAGTACAGAGCTGTGGCTGGAGATAGGGGATAGGTGAAAACACAAACTCTCAACCCTCGAAAGCAGGACAATACAGGATTACTCAAACATGGCCGAATCAACTGAAATACAACTAAATAAAATATATATACTAAGTTATAAGTTAATAATGAGGAAAGGCAGTTGTAGCATTGTTAAAAGCTCATATGATCTTTAAAGTCAGCCTATATAAGTAGCTTTTGTACAGTTCTGGTGGTAAAAAATATCAAAACATTTAATTATCCTGGAAACTCAATTGTGAAACATTTCTAAATCAAGTGTGTGCGTCTTGGAAATCATGAAAAGTCATTTTTAATTGCGGAATGCCCACAAGATAAGACCAGCCAGTCCACATAAGGCAGACTTTCTAAAACAGTCCTCTGGTTTAGGATTCCATGACCAATGCAGCCTAGTTCAATTCGTTACAGTGAAATCCAGGTCTTGATATAGTCCAGATTGTAATGCCGCTCGAGTACGTCTGGAAAGTCGAGTCTGATAAGCTCGCGGACAATTGGCGGAGCTGTGGTGTCGTCGTGAATACGGGGAATCCTCACTCACCTATAAAAAGCATGGAATGTTTTCGTGCAAACTTGAGTCCTTCGGCTCTGTCTAGCTCGTGGTTTTCCTGCAACGAGAGAACAGAGGGAATGACTTCTTCTTCCTCTCCACAGACACAGACCAGGGCGCGCTAAAGCCACAATGCGGAACTTTGCGGGCAGCGACAGGAGCGGGGACCCTGCCAGAGAGGAAGGGTCTGCTGCAGTCATTTAAAGCGCTCATACATCAAGAGGCTTTAAAGGTCCGGTAATTATTCAGGACGTAACTATTTTGTACTGTGGTTTTTGGAGAACTTAATACCAGGACTGGACAATATAGAGATAAAACAATGTTGGCGACTGCAATTGATCGCCTACGATGTACCGAAGAGACACCGACATCTTAAGATTTTTTACTGTTTGACTAGTAAATTAAGCCATGTATGGTTTAGTTTTTAGTTGGTGGGACCTGCAGGACTAAAGGAGAGAGTGAAGGGGTGGGAGGGGCGGGGTCTGGACGTATAACGAACAGTATCATAGACTCTGTTCACATTTATATCACAAACCAGGAAGACGCTTGGAAACACGAGATGACAACTTCCGGTGTAGTTCCCGACACTGGGCTCATCGACCGACTGTGATCAAACCCACTGAAGTAAATGTGATCAGCGGTAAAATGAAGACTGCAGACGTATGAAATGTTTGGAATTATCTGGAATTTGGCGCCTCGTCTCTTCTAATCACATGTACCATATTTTTCAGACTATAACTCACACTTTTTCTCATGGTTTGGGCGTTTCCTGCGACTTATACTCCAGTGCAACTTATATATTAAAATATATAATTTCACATGTTTGTTATTTTCACAGTGAAGCTGCAATAGGCAAATGACTTGAATATTAAAATTTTCAGACTGACAGCCGTGAGAGGGCGCTCTAGGCTCATGTGTCAGTATTTAGTACTACTCCTTTACCACTGTCAATTTGCACTCTACTGTGCATGCCTCCTGTAGAAATAGCCACTGTAGCAGCAGAAAGAAAGTTTGGAGTGAGCGAGAAACTTGTGAGAGACTGGCGGAAAGCGAGGATGGAGAACACAGCTTCGCGGCAACCGCACCATGCAACTTTCCCGGAAGTCACTGGATGGATGGACAAAGCCTGGACTTCAGTGACACAGAAACCATCCTATTGGGATTCAGAAAGGCCAGAATAATTGTAAGTGGAACTGATGCTGAGTCTAACGACAGCGATACAGAAGAGGAAGCGGCGCTCTGTTTACCTCATGGATCTATGGTTTTTGTCCAGAGGTCGTGCAGAAATGACACCGAGGATGAAGAATTCAATGGATTTAGTGATTTGGAGTGAGATTGTGAGTTTGGTAAACTTATGTTGTTTATGCTATAATTATCTGAATATACGTTAACATATTAACACATATTCAGTCTGTTGTTCTCTATTCTGTTATTACTATAATTTGCCTTTCAAGATGAAATGTCGGTTCCTGGTCTCTGATTTTATAAAATACATTTCCCCAAAAAGTGCAACTTATATATGTTTTTTTCTTCTTCACAGCTAATTTTTTGGCTGGAGCAACTTATAGTCTGGAAAATACGGTACCCAGTGCACTCGGAGTTGTGTGTCAGTGGGGAAATGATGAAAACTGAGGTATGGTTGGAATTGTTATTTAGCCAAACATAACGGAACATTACAATGACAAAGAGATGAAGAAAACTGGGACATTTTCTCACTTTTCCTAGATTTTGTCAGACTTACTACCGGAAACAGAGCTCGTAGGAAGTTGTCATCGCATGTTTCCAAATGTCTTCCTGGTTTGTGACGTAAGAGTGAATAGAGCCTATTGGTCTAACAGTTATCCACACTTTAAACTCCGCCCCCTCAGACAGGTGTTTGTATCAGAAACATCTGGACGTGCTCAGGACAGTCCTGGGTGATGTCACATAATACTTGAAACTGCAGCGGCCACTTGAGTCAGCACATAGTTTTTAACCGGTTTTGATTACAAAGCTGAAAATGTCTCTAGTTTGCACTAAAATGTATAGATATATAATCAGTTTAATTAGAATGAGACTTTTTTACAGTCTCAGTTGTTTAATTGCACAATAATCCTGCTTTTCCAGGCAGAAAAACAGAAAGAATAAACTGGTTTCATTTTGTAAAGTGTCAAAATCTTGATTATTAAAAACATGAATTAATCAGATGAATTCAGTTAATTGCCCAGCCCTGTCAGGAACAATAGAAACAACAGATTATGCTATTGAAACATTACATACAGTTTAGTAGTGAAAAAAGTGGATTTAATGTTATTGCACTTAAGACGTGACTTCATGAGGTCTTATTCTGTGTAAAAGCTGCTAACATCATACTTTAGACCTCTACAAACATGTCCTGAAATCAATAGAATTCTTGTATTACGTGTGATATTTCAGTTGTCTGTTAAATATGAGTGCTCTCAGACACATTTTAACTGAATCTTAATGCTGAAAAGTAAAAAGTACATTCAAAAGTACACGTCAGAGCTACTATTTCAAAAGTCCTATCTCACCCTGTCGATCTTGTTGCCCACGAGCATCTTCACCAGGTCGTTGCGGGTGCAGTATGTCTCCAGTTCGTTGAGCCAGTTCTCGAGTTTTGTAAAAGTTTCCCTCCGCGTCACGTCATACACTGTGGAAACAAGAAACACGACTCAGGACTCCAACCAGCAGTCAAAACAGACTTTTGTACACTATACAGCTGTTCTAATATCATAGTTATTTTGTTTTTGATGAATAATTAGTAATGTTTTGTAATTCATGTTTTAAAAAAGACCCTGTGTGCTTGTGTCTGTTATATAGCTGTAATTTATGACACCAGTGTTAGAATTTGGATATTTTAAATCACAATATTCATCAAAATAAAAGAAATAAGCATTAGGAAAAATGTGGTGTCGGGAGCTGACTTCGCCATAAACGTCATCACAGTGAGTTGGCACCTCCTGTGGATCACTGCAGATCATACCAGCGAGCAGAGGATTGAAACAGGAATTAATTGGCAAAATGACATCTTGAAAATAAGTGATTAAAGATGACTCAAACATGCATGAATCACCCCAAATACAACTTCAGGTGAGTAAATGGTGAGAGGAAACAACTATAATGTGGTTTAAAGCTCTGAAAAGTCCATTTTGTAGAACAGGTCTGATTTAAAAGTGTATTTAGTCCAGGTTTTGAGACGTCTACTACGATGCAATCATTTTAATCACAAATCAGACCTGATAATGTTCATGTAAGCACAAGAATAAAATTATTTCAGAATTTATATCAGAGGTCTATTAAAGGTGCACTGTGTAACGTTTCTGATGGTGGGTCAGTCGTCTGCATGTCTTGGTTTGCTTGAAATGTTCCACAGTATAGCATTACACTTGCCAGCCTCGCATTTCCCCCCCCCAATTAGGCTACATGTGTTTTTAAAAGCCTTAAATATGTACATTCTAATGTGGGCAGGGTCGCCTCTCCACAGAGCTGACCTGTTATGCTTTCAGGCAAACCAGTAACATCTCCATGGAGACAAGCAGGTAAGCACAAAAGTTACACAGTGTACTTTAAAGACTTACTACAGTGTATTTAGTCTGTATTGTTTGGCTCAGATCCTCCCTGCGTCTTGGTAAGAATCTTTGGATTTCCAATTTACAGTGATAATGTGCCGACTGCTCTGCCCTGCACCTATGGGTGCTGTCCAGAGGAGCAGGCGAGTGAGCGCACCGACCAGAGAGGGGAGGAGAGAGGGGCAAAGGCAGTGTGTGTGTGCGGACAAGTGAGAGGGGCATAGGCAGTGTGTGTGTGTGTGTGTGTGTCTGTGGAGCAGAGAGAGGGGCATAGGCAGTTTGTGTGTATGTGTGCATGTGGCGCAGAGAGAGGGGCAAAGGCAGTGTGTGTGTGTGTGTGTGTGTGTGTGTGTGTGTGTGTGTGTGTGTGTGTGTGTGTGTGCGTGCGTGCGAAGAAGAAGAGAGAGGGGCATAGGCAGTGTGTGTGTGTGTGTGTGTGTGTGTGTGTGTGCGTGCGTGCGTGCGTATGTGTGTGTGTGTGTGTGTGTGTGTGTGCGTGGAGCAGAGACAGGGGCATAGGCAGTGTGTGTGTGTGTGTGCGTGTGAGCGTGCGAAGAAGAGAGAGGGGCATAGACAGTGTGTGCGTGAGTGTGTGTGTGTGCGTGTGTGTGGCGCAGCCTGAAAAGCCATCAGCCCGTTTACGACGTGGCGCTGGAGCGTGTTAGCGGACGGGGCACTGCAGCCGAAGACACTTTACCCAGAATGACTCCTTGGGCGCCGCGGTAGTAACTGGGCGTGAGTGTTCGGAAGCGCTCCTGCCCGGCCGTGTCCTGGAAAACATAAAAAGTATAAGTACTGCAAGATTACTCCAGCAGTACTAGCTCTTGGCAGCCAATTACAGCCTGCTACATTTGCCTCTCCATCAATCACCTCGAAAGACTGTCACATTCTACAAACTATAGAAAATTGCTGAAAATTTAATGTTTTTTTTTGTTTGTTTTTTTAGCCCAGCCCTACTCTGTATGTTTCAAAACTATAACAACAACCCAAATTAAACTTACAACACTAGACTACATACATTTCCTGTAAAATATTACCAGGATTTGGTTTAGTTTCTTCAGCTCCTTTTCAATGACTGTTTTGGAGCGCAATCCTGTGACTCTGGCGCCATCTTCTGGAGACTTAACCATATAACTACAACTGCCAACGTCCATAGTAGAATTAAGTTTGATGATTTTTTACAAAACAGAACCCATATTTGAGTGTTTTTGCTTTTATATACTTGTGGTACTTGAAGACCGTGTTTGATTCCTCTCTAAGGTTTGATAAAAAGACTGAGCAAATTGTCAAAAGAGGACCGCAACGTGTTCACTTGATGAGGAAGCTTGACTCTTTCAATATGTATTCCAACATTTCAAATCATTTCTATCATTCCCTTTTTTGAGAGTTTGTTGATGTTCTCTTTTATTAGTTGGGTTAGTTGGGTTTACCTGGGCATCTGTGAAAGATAACAACAGAACAAAACAGAACAATATTGCGAAAGTGTGTGGCAAAATCCATGAGAAAGGGTGCGCCAAAAGACTAAGGCCATACTAAACTAGATTAACCATGTGCTGCGCTCGCAAATGTCCTCCAGGCGGCGATATGTGACCCCACAACAAAAAACCCAACTGCTACGCTAAATCTTTAATTCCTTCTTGCTGTAAAACTTTTAAATGAAAAGTAAATTTGCTTATTTCTGTGTCCCCTGATACACTGAGGTTTGAATTCCACACACTTCTTTCTAATTTATGTAATTAATGTCTCTCTCTCTTTTTAATTTTATGATGACTGTTTATGTTTTGATTTGTTTTTAATGTATTTCTTATTCTGTAAAGCACTTTGAATAACTTTGTGTACGAACTGTGTACACAAATAAACTTGCCTTGCCAATTTATGGTGTGTGTTGTGTATACATGAGTTTATTTATGGTTTATGCGACACCAGAAATCTGAACTGGACTGCCATTTGGGATTAATAAAGTTGTTAATTGATTAATTGATTACATAGATATACAGGGTGTCCCAAACATCATTTCGCAGGCCAATAATTGTGAAAATTGAAATAACCTCACATTTTCATAGAATGTCTAGAAACAGATCAAGATTTTATATTTAATGTTTTATTTTTGTTCTGTTTTCAGGTTGAGTTCACTCCCGAGTCAGTTTGTGTTTTGGAATCTGCTCACACACTCACCCAACACTGTACAGCGTGCTTTTAATGCAAAATTTGGAAAAACTTTACAAACTGTCAAGAAATTTGGACTTGGTACCAAAAATGTAAAGATGAAGGCTGATTATGCAGGGATAAAGGATCTGGTAAACCAACATCAGCGTCATCATTGAGCTAGACTTAGTAGTTTTCAAGATAATTGCTTTTAAAATTATGTCAAATTTTTCAGTCCCATAATAAACTTATCATGTTCAACACCTAAACTGTTCAGTTTCATTGAGCTAGATTCAATAGTTTAACATGATTGCTTTTAAAATTATGTCAAATTTTTTGGGACACCCTGTATATAGGCTTATATTTTTACATAATTTATATTACCTTGCTTTTGGACCAGTGTAGTAGAACAAGGCATACTGTCAATGAACTTCACTGACCATTTATAGATTTTGGAAGTACTTGAAAAAGAACAATCAATTTTTACGATTTTTATGCTTTTTACGTCTTTCTATTTTTGGGAGCTATAAGTCCATGGTAATATGTGATCAGTTACCATAGCGACACAACACAATGCACACATTAGCCAACACTGCCTGGTAAGTTTTTAGAAATGATCTGAAAGTGTTGAAACTGAAAACATGCAGGCTATTGTTCTCTTGCTTGTGACTGTAAAGTTTAGGGTGACCAGATTTTCAAATTACAAAACTTGGATGTCCTGTTTTTTTGTTTTTTGGGGTGGCTGGTAATAATAAAATTGTGAAACAAGTGCGTGATTAAGGAAAATTGTTATGTCGAGACCATTTATGACTAACATGTAGTCAGTATAGTCACATTTTCTTTGTGTTATGGTTGTTTTTTAAGCAGCTTTTCTGTATTTTACGTAAACAAATGACACTTTATGTTTCTGTTTACTGTTGGTAAGTGTCAAATTGGTCAAAAATAGGAACACCTAGGATCTTTTTTGTTTAAAACTGGAACAAATCAATGGTTTTAGATAAATCTGCTGGGACAGGGGACACCGTGTTCAAAACTGGGACTGTCCCGGGTCAACAGGGACGTCTGGTCACTCTAGTAATATTTTTTCGAGAGGGACTTGTTTAACGTCCCAAATCAGCTCACTTGTTGTCGTTCCAGCCAAGCCAGCCAGTTCTTAAAGGTCAGATTGTGTTAAAACAAAACCGAGATTAAAGTCTAAGTCGAGTACCAGAGCCTCAGACGGAGCAGTGCCATCCGGTTAGCGTCAACGCGAACTATGAATTCAATAAATCATTACAATTGAAAATTTCCACTCACCCATATCGCCAACTTCGCCTTGTTCCCGTCCACCGTAATAGTCTTGACCTTAAAGTCCACACCTAGACGAGAAGAATTCCATCAAACACCGCGTCTGTATCGTGGTGACCTCATTCTGGTCAGATGTTTCTTACAGGACCCTCCAAGATCCTGCCAAACATCTCCAGCGGGCCTATAATTACCCGTGATGAATTATGAAAACATCCTTTACCACACAATACTTCTGAACTTCCTCTAACTCTGCCCGAAATGTTAAATTATAGTGACTACAAGCAGGAAAGAGGGGGACTGAAGAATCGATTGCGAGAATGCTAATGTTCCACCTGTAAAACGCGTCAGTTAGGTTGCGTCCGTAGAGTTACAGGGGGACGTAGCCAGACCGCTCACAGCCCGTTAGAGTGTGACGTATTGGGTTTGGAGGACAGATTTAGCAGAGAAATGTGCGCTTCTGATGTGGTTGTTTTTACATGTGGTGAAGCGGGGGGAAGAGGAGGGAGGACAAGATGGCTGCCTGGAGATAGGAGCAACGAGCGAGTGTACACTGATATACAGATATGTTGTGTTTGTGAGCGCTACAAAACTAACCCAGGACAATTTTACTCCCAGATATTTCACTCTGCAGCATTGTACTGGAGACTACAGAGTTCAGACTTTAGAGGAACAAATCTGACTGTTTTGTGTCAAACAATAATTATTCTAAGTTTGTATTGTGTATATACATTTTTAAAATTATCTATGTTGGAAGCCATTTTTTCTTTATAATAAGACAATAAATAAATAAATAAATACATAAATAAATATATAATAAAGATCATTTTAAAGAGGGGGTATTACACTTCTGTGGGGTATTAACTGCTAACACATGACATATGAAGCTCACAATGTTATTTTTTATTGTTTTAAAATGCTATATTCATCAAAAACAACCTACTAAAGTGTTTTAAGTAGTTTCAGTTTCATTTGGATGCTCTGAGTCTCCGCTCCCTTTACTCCCTCCTCACTCCCATCAGAGTGTGATCTCCACATAATCAGCAGTGCATTTCACTAATGAAACTATTGCACATCGCAGCAGCTCTGTGATGTTGTACTGTATTGTATCAAGCTTTTGTATATTTATGGACAAGGGTCGTGTGGGAACATGGATGACGTAGGCTTATGGGCGGAGCCTTGTACAGGCTTGTACCACTACTTGGAAGGAGGGTTAGAATAGTGCCTGGAAGAGATTACGCAATGTAATTATGTATAGATGATATAGAGGGTTTATCAGATTATGTCACTTGGCTCTGATGCGCATGTCTCCTGCAGAAAGAGACTCTGTCCTGTCTGTATCATGTCAGTGTCTTGTAGCAGATTTCAGACTCTTACGGGGCTAGTTGTTTGGATCAGGTATGAGCGGACGTCCAGCTACAGACATTTGAGACATTTCTTCTCATCATTTACACACTCACCTGAGTTAACATAATTATACAGGTTATTAAGACATATCCCACTCACTAATGTTCATTTAGCACGATAACTTATTTTATCAAATGGCGATAAAGTGTTTTAGTGCTGACGACAGCACTGCACACCTATCTGCTCTGTTGATAAAGTATTAATGTATCTATATAAAACCTCTTCAGACATGCTTTTGATGGGAGAACAATGGTATTACATGATATAAAGTTCCAAAAAGTTGATTTAGTGAAATACCCCCTCTTAAATTTTTGGGTCGTATCATCCAGGCCTAAACTGAAGGTAATAATTACAGTTATTCAAAAAATGTGATTAATTTTACATGCCTATCATGTAGGGATGTAACAATAACTGAAATATCGTGATATCGTATCATCAAAGTTCTCACAATAATATCATGGACCATCACAATATATCGAATTACAAGTCTCTTTTCCTAAATGAAGAGTTAAGGTGTAGCAACAGGTAAAAAAAGACAGAGGGAACTACATAGACCATGATCCTTTGCTCCATTTCAGTGCAGACTACTAGAAGAAATAACAGTTCTAAACACTTTTAAGTTTTAGTTCTTTGGATTAATTCTTGTCAAGGCATTTTAAGAGGAAAAAGTAACATATTAACAGTTTTGTAAGCCTCCACAAAATATCACAATAAATATCGTACTGTGAGATGTATATAGTGAAAATATCGTATTGAGAGATTTGGATATTTTTACATCCCTAATTGTGAGCCTCCCCACCATATCATGAGCTCTACCACGATACCGCACTAAATATCGTACCGTGAGATTTATACTGTGATGATATCGTATCGTGAGACTTGGATATCGTTACACCCCTACTAATCAAGACACTTCAAGCACTACTATTACTGTTATCACTGATTATATGAATAGTATAACTTAATTTGTTGATTGCACAACAGCACAATCATTTGACATGGCTTTGTTTTTCTCATTCCTTCACATTTCCATGAAGCACTTTAAAACAACATTTTAATCCAGGACACAAAAATGTGTCTTGAATGTAGGAGAGCAGGTTAGTTTGGTGTGAGCGTGCCTTTAGCTCACACATCACATCTGTTTCTGTGCAGTGTGGCTCCTCTTCAGTCTAACTACGTCCACATGCTCGTCTCCCCGTGTGACCCAGGCCCCCGCTCCAATCACCCACCTATTGTAGCCGACTGCTCAGGGTCGAAAGTGTCGTCTGTGAATCTCAACAGGAGGCTGCAACACAACAACGGAAAGAGTTACACAACGCACACAAAAACATGTTAAAAGTGATGTTTACTTCTATCGACTAAAAACAGGGCGTGGCAAAGCTCTCAAAACTGACCTAAAATGCACTCATGAACAAATCCAAATCACTATTTATGCAAAGAGAAGTACAGTTTATATAAAAACAGATTAAACTTCATTGAAATCATCTTTTCAGAACTGGATTTCGCATTTAAACTCTTTATTCTTGATTAGTAATGTAAAATAATTGCCGTTACATATCTGTTGATTATTATTATCAACCTTTTATAAGTAAAGGTAGTTTCTGGAGAGTTGATTTTTTACAAGACTTAAAAAGAATTGTATGAACTATTCTAAATGTATAGGTTTTAAAATAAATAAATAATGAATAAATAAATATAGTTATTATTGTGAGGTTAATTTATCTTTTTACAAATACGAACAATAAATCCAAATCTTCAGCTCACTCACTCACTCACCAACTCCTCCTTTGTTTATCATTGTACTCAAAATAAAAGGATAAGTCGACTAATACACCACTAACTGATTCATTCTTCTGTCTGGAATGGGACGATAACTGGTATTAAAGAATCCTGCAGTATCAAAATCCCATCAGTGGCATCAAATGACCAGCAGAGGGCAGAGTCTAGCTGCGTTTTGAAGTCGTCTCTCTACAGGAAGAAAGAATAATAATCCAAAATCTTCAATAAACAATACAACATGGTTAAACTTTCAAATGACTAGGGTGTGTATTTTCCTTCTATAACTAATGTTTCTCCTGTTAGTTTTCAGATTCAAGAATGTGATAGTGTCAAACTTCCAGAAGGGGCAAGAACCAGTTTCCCTATTGATTACATTCTACTTTGCCATGAAATCTCCAAAAGGTAAAGTCAGAAATATTGAACCTGATCATTTCTAGGGCTGAGTATCGTTCAGAAGTTGCAGATACGATACATACCTCGATACAGAGGCCATGATACGATACATACCTTGATACACTGAGCTTACGATTTGATATATTTCAAATCGATTCAATATGGTTCAATAAAAATAAAAGGCTAAATTGTGGCTGTGACAGTCTTTGTTAAATCACTTTTTGTGGAAAGTTCATATGAAACACAAACATTTTATTCATCAAAACACTGAAAATGTCAAATGTGTCACATTTCCTTCCTCTGAACAAACAACAAAACTGTAGTTCTATTTATAATAATTTGGTAAAATATATGAAAAAAAACTCTTGGTGATACAGCAGCCCACGATACATCGATACTTCACATTAAACGGTACGATATATCGATATTTCTATATTTTTGCACACCCCTAATCATTTCTATTAGTGACTGGACGATACAATTTGATATATTAATACATTTAGTGCTTAAATCTGCTCTATAGTTCAAATTTACGACATTATCATTTGGACACTTTAAATATTCCTCTAAATCGCTTTAATAAAAGACTTCTGTGTTAAATAAACAGCAGTGCAATAGGAGCTGATGTCGCCATAAACATCATCACAACAAAGCCGTGTAATGTGATCTTTTAGCAGGAACTGGATTTTTTTTTTTATTACCAAAATGACTGTGCAAAGCTGACATGCATCGCCGATTAAAAACAAAATTGCAGAACAAAATACATTTAAGTACAGGCAGTGGGTGTGTGCAAGTGAAAAATAAGTGATTAAAGCATGCTCAAACATGCAACAAATCACTCCAATTACAACATTAAGTGAGTAAACAGTGAGGCCAAACTGCTGTAAAATGGTTTAAAGCTCTGAAAAGTCCATTTTGCACAATAGGTCTACTTAAATATTCATTTTAGCTGCGTCTCATCTGTGTTAAATATTAAAGGCCTATAGGATGCTGTGATGTCATCTGAAACCCTGCAGGAGATCTTGATCACATGACATCAGTGTCTGACTAAGGCGAGGACAGCGTTGGCTTCCTCTGTGACTAATCGATGGTTTGCACAGACTGTAGCTCTGATGATGCCGACCCCTGTCCCTGACCCGGACATGATTCTGTAGCGTTAACTCAGGGTTTGCTGTGTGCAGGAGCATGCAGCAGATGAGCTCAGCAGGAAGGCATTAAGTCATTATTATGAGCGTGTATGTAATGTAATGACTCTAGCACACCTATGGAATCTGTGTAATGAACTGTACTGAACAATTGTATTCAAATTAAGACAACCATTCAAGCGTCAAAGTGTGCTACCTATTTACATTAGGCAGATGTTGGGATTCTGGGCCATCAGGCTGATAAACTCTTTTACTATTGCAGAATTTATGCAGATATCAGCAAGTTAAGCTTTTTTTTGCAGTACAGAATAGCAAGATTGATTATTAAAGATCCTATATTACACAAAATGGACTCTTGTGAGCTTTAAGCCATGTTATAATGTAGTTACCTCCTAAAAAACAGACCTGGAGTTGTTTTGTTTCATTCACACATTTGAGTAATCCTGTTTTTTTTGTCTGTCTACACCTCCAAAGCTCATAATGCTCTGCTCCACCTTGCGATGTCATGAAGTGGCAGTTTTCAAGTTATCAGCTCCTTTTAGGTTTAGTTCAGCAGAGATTGGCAATTCCAGGGCTGAAATTATTCAAATTATTCTAGTGAAGGTGTATAGAGTTTAAAAACACAGTGGAGCACTTCCTGTACTACCACATGACATCACAAGATGAAACAGAGTATTTTTTGTTAGAGAGAAGAACTGAGCCTAAATATGTGTATGTGCTAAACATGTGTAAATGAAACAAAACACAACTCTAGATATGTTTGTGATGAGGAAACTACATTAGAACAAATCAGAAAATAGTCTAATAAGGGCCCTTTAAAGTCATTTTTAGTCAAAAAGTAAACTAAAATTAAAGCTAAATAAAAGTTTTTTGTTGTTATTGTGTTTATTGTACTGAAAAACATCTTACTGTGAGTGGGCTTGCATCTTCACAAACCTAACTCTTCTTTGGTTTGGAGGAGGGCTTAGTTTCATGGAAATGCTGCTTAGTAAGGATGTAACGATAACAGAAATATCGTGATATCGTAACGTCAGAGTTCTCACAATAATATAATGGTCCATCACAAGACAGTGGGTACTACATAAACCATGATCCTTTGCTCCATTTCAGTGCAGACTACAAGAATAAATAACAATTCTGAAACACTTTTAAGTCTTAGTTCTTTGGATTAAGTCTTGTCAAGGCATTTTAAGAGGAAAACGAAGCATATTAACAGTTTTGTTAGCCTCCACAAAATATCGCAATAATAATACCATGAGATGTATATCGTGAAAATATCGTATCAGGAGATTTGGATATTGTTACATTCCTAATCGTGAGCCTATCCACCATATTGTGATCTTTCCCATGGTATCACAATAAATATCGTACCATGAGGTTCATACCCTGACGATATCATATCATGACACTTTGATATCGTTACACCTCTATTCCTTTGGCTAAAATGTTCCCCAGTACAGCATTAAATCTTCCATGGAGAATGTTTCCAAGTATGGTTTTAACTTTCTATTTCCATGGAATCACACACTCTACTCTTTACTCAACATAATTATAAAGCTAATTAACAGAAAATAGATGTAATTGCCTTTCTTTATCTAAATTCGGTTTTATTTTGGATTAAATAATTACGCAATTGTCATAGTTTCGATCTTACTGTGACGCTATATGAGGTCCAGTTCCTGACAAAGTCCAAATCCAACTCACCAATCCCATGTTGGCTAAACGTCAGATTTGTGCTACTTTTTTGGCATTTTAAGAACAAAGATACACAAAACTATCTCCTGGTCAAGCTTTCAAGAGTATAAACAGTACTAGTAAATGTGTACAGTCAACATACTAGAGGACATACGGACATGGACGTTGTAATATAGGTTGTTTTTTTTGTGTATAGGAGTGTACAGAACTCAGATCAATAAAATATTTTGCCCAAATACGTAATATTAAACTAATCCAAACTGCATGAGAGCACAGTACTTGGTCTACAGTTTTTTCTTGTACACTATATTCTACGAAGAGTTGAAGCTGATTGAATCTTAAGCTTTATTTAAATAAAAATCATCTAAATTAAATAACACAGAATTACCTACTTTTTGTTTACATGCTAACAATCTAACATCACTTTTGGACATCTGATTATTTATACTTTAATGTTGTTTATTGCTCTCAAAGCCAAAGTTTCTGATAATTTGATTTGATGGTTGACGTCTAATAATTCTTCCATACTGCACGATGATGTTCAGGCAGAGGTATGAACCAGCCCAAGCCAAGATATAGAGTAAACTAAATCATTTCAGTTGCGCCTCCAGACATTCAGAAGACACGTAGGGTTTAGTGTTTCAGAATAATCAAAGAGACTGTAGTTTAAAGATGAGAAAATATGCAAAAATCTACGTTATGTGCAGCTATCCATTGGAGGTACGGACAACTTCACAGTGCTTTGTTGTGATGATGTTTACAGCGACACCAGCAGGTTGTTTATTTTATTAAATTTGCACAATGTATCTTTTCGGTTAGGGGTCTGTCACCTGCTTGTTTTTATGGATACGTCATTGCTCTGCCTGGAATGTTCCACAGTGTGACATTAAACATCTCTACCTTACATTTATTCAATTACTCATGGTTTTATAGCTTAAAAATACCTAGAAAAACAGGCATTCTGACTGTGAGCGAGGCTGCCTCTCCACAGATCTGACCTGTAACTTGGTCTGGTTTCCATGAGGACAGAAAGGTTTACCAGAAAAGTTACATAATGCAGCTTTAAGTCATTTCAAATTTGAGGCAGAGGATAGGCAAATGTATCTTATTATGAAAATGTTTTGATACAGCTCAGGGTTATAAAATTTTAATATGACTGCAAGATTTAATCATATTGAATTCTCTTTTTTTTCAGACTGTAATTTTTTGACAATTTTCAAGTACCATAAGTTCCTCCTCAAACACAATATCCTGTTTTAATTTACATAAAAACTGTAGTAGAACTGAACAAACGTGTTCAAGATGTTTGTCACTTGTCAATTCATTTTTCAGTCTTTCTGGAAATTCTTCTGTACGCATTTAAAATGTGAATTTTGCACAGAATCCTATTATTAAAACAGAAATCGCAAATCCAAACACAACGCTTGTTATAAAAATAGCAATTAGATCTTTTGTTCAGCTCTAATTCGTCATTAGTGGGCCTGGTATCCAGATTTACTTGTAATTTTGACATTTTGTGAATTCTGCTTAGTACTCAACGTCACCTGCTCATGTTATTTGACTAGACTGTTCGACAGTGTGGCATTAGACTTATCTATCTAGCATATATTAAATGTAATATTGTGCAAAACTGACTCTTATGAGCTTTTATCCATGTTGAAATGCTGTTTCTTCATCAAAAACAGACCTGGAGTTGTGTTTTGTTTCATTTCCATGTTTGAGTAACTCCTCATTATTAGTCTGTTTACATTTCCAAAGATCAACATGCTCTGTTGCACCTTGTGATGTCATGCATGATATTTTTTAAGTAAATAGCTACCTTTTATTATTTGTTTAGGCATTTCTAGGGCTGAAATTATCCAAATGACTCAAGTGAAGGTGTATGTTTTCTGGTTGAGAGAAGGACTGAAACCTAAAGATGAACGTGTGAATGAAACAAAGCACAACTCTGAGTATGTTTTTGATGAGGAAACATTTTAACAGATCAGAAAATAAAGTACGATACGATACCATTAATATTTTTCAATGTCCTAGGTGCTAAAAAAATATCTTGAAAAAAACAAGTCATCCCACTGTTGACCTTTAACTTGCCCTGATGGTGCAACTCACTTGTCATCATGGAGATAGATACATAATTTAATGCCACACTCCAGAACATTCCTGACAAAGCACAAACATCTTCGTGAAAAAAGGCAGAGATCAGACACTCCACCGTTAAAGTTACATAAGGGATCTTTATGGTTTGATTTCATAAGCAAAGTGGAACGATTACCTTGTAGGACACTATTATTCACGTTCAACATGAATTTATTTTATTATTATCAACTATTTATAACGCTTTACTCTATAATTAGTACACATGAAAACCATACCCCCAAAGGAGAGAAAAATATTTTATGACAAAAGTGTTTAGCGAGTAAAAAGTAGCCAGAAGTCATTTTTTACAAGGCTAAAATTGCTTTCTCGTGATTGCAACATCTTCAACCATACGTGGAAAAACGTGATGTCATGACTAGATGTGGTAAACTGGGATTATACGAGATAAACTGACACGTTTAGACAGAGAGAAGGGTTAAATAAACAGCAAAAACCACGATCGCGACACATTATTTTTCCTAAACAAGAGTAAAGGGTGATACAGATCGGGCTAGCAAGCTAACACTAGCCTGAAGCCACGACACCAGTTTCTTGAAGATTTTTTTCTTTTACCTGCTTTTTCCAACGCCGCTTTCTCCAATTATAAGTATTTTCAGAGTGGTCAACACGTCGTCCTCCATTTTTGTGTGATAGATCGCGGTGTTACGGGCGGAATCGGCGGAGTAGGTGCGCTTTTTGTAGAGAAAGCAGCGCCCGTGTTGTTTACAGCAGGGCAGAGATAGGGGACAGTCTGGAGAGAGGGCTCGCTCCAACGACTTCCTGTGGACGCGATGGAACTTCCGCCCAGGCCACGTCTCTGATTACACAATAAACTAAATTTGTGAAATATTTTATAGTGATTTTAAGGCCACATTGAAGTTTGTGTATTGAAGCTAAAATGTAAGTGTTGTTCATTAATGGCAAAGTAATCTGAATAGAATGAATCTGAACATCTAATAATAATAATAATAATAATACCATTATTACCATTATTGTTATTTTTTGTGAAGCCATCATTAGAATGAACAGACGTCCATATTTACCTGGGACAGTCCCAGTTTTGAGACCTGTGTCCCCTGTCCCAGCAGATTCATCCAAAACCAGTCATTTGTCACAGTTTTATACAAGAAATGTCCCTGGTGTCCCTATTTTTGACCAATTTGATCCCTGCCAACAGTAAAGGGGCATAAATTGTCATTTGTTTTTGGTAAAATACAGAAAAGCTGCTTAAAAACAACCAAAACACACACAAACAAATTTACTGAACTTTCTCTTATCTGATCGGTCACTCCCTAAACCTCCTTCACCACTCACGAATCAGTGCTAGTGCAGCCTCTGCAGCTCAGGGAGGAAATTCTAGAGGTTCTGAGCTTTCACATGAGACATTGTCTGTTCATATATTGAGAATGAAAAAAAAAACTTGTTTGTTTTTGCGCACTATGTATCTGCAGGTTAAGGTTAAGGCAACCCAGGTTCACTAGGCCCTATTCACGCTTCCCAGAAGACATCTGGAAACATGTGGATGATGACTTCCGGTGTAGTTCCCGACACTGGGCATGTGATACAACCATGGATACATGGGGCCTACATGTGGTATGGGAAAGAGGATCCTTTCTGTTTGTGAAGTTGAAATACGAGTGTGTTGTGTTCAAGTGCTTTTGTTGTCGTGAAGTAAAATATGGTGGGCCCAGAGTTTATCCTGACCTGTTTTTTGGGTAAAACAGTTTTAGACTTGCTAATTAATCTGCTACAGCAAGAAGAGAATGCAAAATGCAAGTGGTTGACCAAGTAATATGCTGTATATTTTACTGATCATGTATAGTAGAAAATGTTTAACTTTCACTGCTCTCCACCATGTTGAAAAGTCAGAGTCTATCTCATTTCTGCAGCTCGTGTATCATAAAAATCTTCCAGCTTTCCAGTGAAAATTAGGACGAGTGGGTGTTCATGTGCAATTTTGATGTCAGTTTTTAGTATTTATGATAATTACCATAGGACGTGAAGGCACCATCGGCAGCAGGGCTCTTCACAACCTGCCAAAGCTTTGCATGGGCGACGGGACTCTAATCGCAACTTCAACGTCTTTTACAGGCAGCTGGTTGAGTTCCTATTGCCAAAAGAGACCAAAGGAAGTCGTCATCCGCGGCCCATATAGAACCCACTATGATCGAAACAGTTGAAGTGCAGACTATGTAAAGTTCTTGTTTATATGAACTTAAAAACACATTTTAAAACTTGTCGAAGCAAAATGGCAATGCAAGTTCTAACCTGAACGAAGTCCTCTCCGTTTCCGGACCAAAGCTGAATCCAAATCATTGGTTCTAGCTTATGTTAGTCATGTCTGTGTATATTTTCATTAATTTATCACACAATGTTCTTTTCATAGTCGGCTAAAGGCTAAAATAGTAGCTTATAGCCTATTATATTACACAAATACAATAGTACAAAGTAGTACGTACAAAAATAAAGACATGAAATCAGAACTTTTGGTAGTTTCTTTAATAAATAACCATTGACAGCATTGGGAGAGAGCATGTTGGTGAAAGAAAAGGCACTTTGAAAAGAAGTGGGTGAAGGCTTGGCTGTGTTTAAAGAAAGGCATTGTGGTGGAACATGTCTGAGGTGATGCATGTTTCTTCAAAGCCCTAAAACACTTCACAATCACATACTCTCACTGACAAACATTTTTGGTGTGGCGAAAAAAAAAAAAAAAAAACACAGGGAGAGGACCTGAGAACGAAGCATAGAGTTACTGCACGTTACAAATACAATAATACTTCAAAAACAAGCGCGGGTGTAGTATTTTACATCTCCATTGTTCAACATCCAAGTGGTTTACAGTCCCTTTGTACGAGCTATTCAATACAACAAACTGTAAACATTCATGCTGGCTAATTCCTTCAAAATGTACATCTTTAAGTACAATTTTAAATACTTTTTGTTCAAATTTACGTAAAAAAAAAAAGAAAAAAGAAAACAGAAAGTAGCGCTGAGTGATGAATTGACGTTTGATCAAATATAAAATAAGTTAGTTAGCGCAATTACTTTTTCAAACATGGCTGCTGAGTCATTGACTGTTAGCCTAGCCTACTGCTAACTCTCCAAACACAATTATTATCCGAAAGGAAGTATGTTATAGCTAATAATTACACCAGTTTACGTTACATTAATGCATTAGTATTAGCATTTTTATAAAGTAGGCCTTAAAAACGTCATTTTATCCAGCATAGCATGAAATCATTACATACACCATATAGCTAACCTGTATTAGCCTAATTGTATCTGAATAAATTAGCTACATATTTAGCCCAAAGCTAATGCTCTTAACAGAGGCAACAGTGCGCTCACACGGAGATACAGAACTATTAAAAAATTATAAAGTTCTATATCTATGTACGGCACATAGTTTGTCATTTGTCTGTGTAACATTTTTCATTTTTTTTGTTTCTGTTTTCAGAAAGAAAAGTACATTGTTAAAGATGCCCTATGTAACATTTCTGATGGATGGTCCACCATGTGCTGGTCTCCATGGAGATGTTATTGCTTTGTTTAGAATGTTCCACAGTATGTCTTTGAATATGCAGTATCTCCATGAAGACAAGAAGATGACACTACCAAGCCAAGTGACAAGTCAAATCTGTGGACAGGCGAGCCCGCTCACAGTAAGAACACATGTTTTTCAAGGTGTTTTTGTAGCAATGAATACACCTGTAATGGAGTAAATGCAATATAGATATGTTTAATGCCATATGGTGGAACATTCCAGGTAAAGCAATAACACCTCCATAGCAGACCCTCACTGGCAAAGTTACACAGTGGACCTTTAACAAAGTAAAGTAGCAGTTCAATGAAATTGCAACATAATTAATCTGATCAATTTTGCGAATTGTATTGAAATGTTTTGTATGTTATTAGCCTATGTAGCAAATTTATGAATTAAGTCAGTTCATTTTACCTTCAGAATCCATCTATTAGCCTATACTTCCTTAGCCTACTACTTCTACTACAGCTTCTGTTTCAACCATAGACTGTACACAGATGAGAACTAAGCGAGTGTGACGTCACCAATAGCTTTCAGCTCCAGTCAAATGAAGCTCATCGAGGCTCGCAATTATAGACCCAAAGTTGGAGCCAAATTCCATAGTCAGACTGTGAGTATCATAGCAATCAAAGCAAATTCAGAGCAAAGGTGTTGCACTGTTTGTTTAGAAGGGGGTAGACACTTAGCAACGCTGTCAATCAATCATTTTGAAGCGACCGCCACAAAAGAAGGCACCTGGCTCGTTATTAATATTCATATCTTGATTTACAGCAGGCATGTCCAAACTATGGCCCCCCGACAAATTTTTCTTGACCCTCAGGCTTCCACGTGAATTGGTCCAAATTACCTTGCATTAATTAAAAATGTACTTCTTATTGCAATTTTTTTTTTGAAAATCTACATTGATAAAGCTATTATTTAATATCTAGTGTGTGGTTTTAAGGATCTTAGCATGAATAAAGACTGATGGCTCATTCTGACGTGTTAATCGTGCACATATTTCAGTTATTCACTGCATTGAGCACCAGTCTACAGCCTTCGATTGGCCCTCTGCTTTGTCTGTGTTTAGATATGTGACCCTTGATGAAAAAAGTCTGGACACCCCTGATTAACGGTCAAAACAACAAAATTAAAAGAATCATGTGGAGCGAGTGACCAGATGTCCTTATTTACCCGAGACAGTCCCAGTTTTGAGCCTCTGTCCCCTATCCCTGCAGATTTATCCAAAACCACTAATTTGTCCCAGTTTTACACAAAAAATGTCCCAGATGTCCCTATTTTTGACCAATTTGAATCTGCCAACAGTAAAGAGAGGCGTAAAATGTAATTTGTTTAGGTAAAATACAGAAAAGCTGCTTCAAATTGACCAAAACACAAAGAAAATGTGACTATACTGACTCATATTCATCATGAGAGTCTCTCCATAACAATTTTCCTTAATTACGCACTATTTTCACAGTTTTATTATTGCCAACCACCAAAAGAATGGGGATGTCCCAGTTTTTTATTTTGGAAATCTGATCACCGTAGGATAATACGAAGATTTTAAGACCAAAATGACGAGTCTCACTGCAGCATTTACAGAGAGAGGGGTGATGTTTTTTCAATAGTCAGTGGATTGGAGCCGGAAACGCGCCCATACTCACTTCCTACTTTGGAACGAGACTACTTGGGATGTATACAGTCTATGGTTTCAACTCAGGCCCGGCTTATAACACACAGAATGTCAGTGCACAGAGAAAAAAAAAAGAAGTGATCGACAACATAGACACAACAGTCGTGAAAAACCATAATCCACAAATATATATATTCATACATCCAACGTGTGCACAATGTAAAATCAGGATCATAACATCTGCCCATACCAGTCCTGCGGCAGGAGAAAGCACCTTCAGCTCATAGTCTTCAGCTTCAAAGTATATACACAGAACGCATTGTACAGAGCAAATCGGACAAATGCATAACTCAATGGTGTTAGTAGAAATAGACGCGGTGAATTGATGCTATATGAAAAGCAACACAAATTTTAAAAAAGTAAAAAGTCGATGGATTCGGCCTGTTTTTTTTTTTTTTAATGTTCCATCTGAAGTTTTGTGGAGGTGAAAAAGTCCGTATGAAATGCCTTCACTTTCCTTCGTATTTGGGGTTGACGACGGTTGTCACGGCACTTTTGTAGATGGGATTTTCACCCTGGAAAAAGAGCAGAAAGTGTCGAGTTAGTGATGGAAAAGTAGGCAAAAGTTGGACACCCCTCGAACGGGCGGTTTATATCACACTGCAGTTATAAACCAAACCATGCATTTTAATATCTGACGAGCTTCTAGTCTTATTCAGTGCCCATTGTTTCTAACATTTAGGTCATGGTGTTTTTGTTTCACAATATATACCGTCTTTCATAGGCTCCTAAATTTCCTATCAGCCAATATCCTGGTTGGGCATAGACAAATACATGTAATAAGACTATTTACTGGTTGTAATGGCCCAAAAACTTTTACTTATACAAAGCCTTTGCAGAGTTAAGGTGAGGTATAAATAGCTAACAGACACACAACATGCCCGGATGAGTTGTTTCTTCTATTTTGTTTCAAAAAAACAAATGCTGTTATGCTATCTCTCAGAAACAACAACCTACATTTATTCATTTTCTAGACACATATTACATCTACCATATTTTCCGGACTATAAATTGCACTTTTTACATGGTTTGGGTGTTTCTTGTGACTTATAATCCAGTGTGACTTATATATTAAAATGTTCACAATGAAGCTGTGAGAGGCTCTAGTCTTGTGTGTCAGTATCTGCTGCTCCTGTTCCTCCTGTACCACTGTCACCTGTCGCTCTAGTGCGCATGTCTCCAGCAGAAAAAGCCGCTGCCTTGCTGTAAATACTGAAGTATGCAGCTGAAAATGGTAATCGAGAAACTTGTCAGGGACTGGCAGAAAGCAGGGGTTGAGAACACAGCTTCACAGCAACCGGGAGGATGAACAGTGCAACTTTCCTGAAGTCACTGGATGGATGGAAAAAGCCTGGACTTCAGTGACACAGAAACCATCCTGTCGGGATTCAGAAAGACCAGAATAATTCTAACTGGAACTGATGCTGAGTCTGACGAGGAAGCGGTGCTCCGTTTACCTCTGGAGGTCGTGGAGTTGCTCAGAAGTGACACCGAGGATGAAGAATTGAATGGATTTAGTGATTTGGAGTGAGATGGAGAGTTTGGTAAACTTGTTCTGTTCTGTTGTTTATGTTATAGTTTATCTGAAGAACTGTTCATATGTGACGTTAACAGCCTGTTTTTCTCTCTTCTGTTGTTATTACTAGAACTTGACTTTCAGCAGCAAGTGTCGGTTCCTGGTCTCTGATTTTATAAAATAACTTTCCCCCAAAAAGTGCAACTTATAGTCCGGAGCAACTTATAGTCCAAAAAATACAGTATGTTTGAATGCTCATTTATCTTAAAATTAAAATGATATAGGCTATTATAGTTTACTGCATAGGTAGACATATAAGCCTACATTTCTTGATAGACTTACTAATAATATATTTAAAAGGCATTTACAATTTCATTTTTAAAAATTTAACATTACTGTTTGATTTCCCTTTGTCACACAAACTTGAATTTTGAAATACATTTTCAAATATTTCCAAACTAGGAATAGATTTCTGTTAGGTAAAACCACAAACCTTTCAACTACTGTGCCGTCACATCCGAACAAGCTTACTTCTACAAAAGCACTATTATTTTTAAGTGTTAAAACAGAATACAACTTACGCTTATGCTACATTCTTAGTGTGAATTTTGTCTTGTTTAACACAACACACTCATGCAATCACTCCACCCACTTCACCTATAGTCACGCAACAGTTTTGGCCCCACATCATGTCACAGTTTTTTTAGAAAAGGAAATAAAGCCTGAGAAAATTCACACAGAGGAGCAGAGTCGTGCAGGAAACACACAGATACAAACTTAAAGCGCTGCAGCTTTACGGCCGTAGCTCGGGTTCTGGAACTGGTTTATGGGGCTCTTGTAAATGGGATTCTCTTGCTAAATGTAGAAAAGCGTTGTGGTCAAAGAGAGAAACAGATATAGATGAACAAACAAAGATAAACAGAAACAACGAAAAGCAAAAGTCAAAGAACAGAGTGATGAAGGAAAAGCGTGACAAAAGCAGCAATAGTAGAAGGAATCTATGGAAGAGAATTAGTTTCCTCAGATTTTGAAATAGCGTTGAATTTCTCATTGTGAATTTTTTTACTCACTTTTTAAATATTTGGCACAAACATTTTCAAGCCCTCGAATTCAACAGTCAAAATTCAGAGTGTAAAAAGTTTGTACTCAATTATAAGTACAATTACATGGCTAACACTGTACTCAATTACAAGTACAAGAACTATTGCCAAATTATACTTAAGTGAAAGTAAAAAGTATTAGTTATTTTTTTAAACACATTTTTAGAGGTTTAGATTGCTTGTTACTTGTACTTGTAATCAGTAACTTCTATGATTTAAACTATAACTAATTACAATTACATGGCTAGAGTTTACTCAATGTACAAGTACATGTTTAAAAATCTAATTAGTAACAGTAACATGAGTAATTGTAATTAGTTACTTTCTTACTTTGTACACTTGAACAAAAGGCAGTGGTGGAATTTTGTCATAGCTTGTGTGAACACTAATGGTTTAATCAGTATAGAATAGAATACAAAAATCTAATTAAAATATAAGTCTCCACATTGATTTTTGTAAGACAATTATCACACTGTATGTAAAAGAGTGTTCCTCATTGTATGTAATAATAATAATAATGTAATGTAACTATAGGAATGCATTATACTCTGTCAACACTAGAGGGAGGCAGATCACTGTTACTCAAATTTATCTTCTTCAGCTCGCTTCACTCTCCCAAATTCTGCCATCTGTACTTCATATACATTTACTTAATGGCTAATTGGAGCTCAGTGACAGTGACTTCCCACCCTTGGTTTTGGAAGTAAATTTCATTCATTTTTCACTTAGACTTTCAAAATAAAAAAAGTTAAAAAAAAAAGGACTAATCATGTTTGTGGTAACTAACAACCAAAAGATCCATCACTTTTACTTAAAATCTGTTTCTGAAATCTTAAACCAATAAGTTATTGAAGCATTTCACCAAATCGTATGTTTTAAATCTGCTTTTTGGATATAAAACAGCCACGTTATGGATATTAGTTTGCATGTAGTTGGTTATCCTCCACTTTTTAACATTTTATTTAATCTTTATTTAAGCAGATTGAGATTCAAAGATCTCTTTTTCAATGGAATCCTGGCCAAGACAAATCAACAACATTTCCCACAATTCAGACAATATAAAAGTATAAAAGTTAGACATTGTGACAGGTCCATGACTGCATTTCCAGGTCTTTCAGGTGTGTGTTCAAATGAGCCAAAGGTACAAGGTTTTGGAGTTTAACAGTTTTCTGGCAGTTCCAATGAGCAAGAGCACAATACTGAAAAGACTGTTTTCTTTGAGCTTCCAAAAGTCTAAGGGGAAAATGAATGGAAAATTTACTTCCGGAACTGACTTCTGTTCCCAGCGATAAAAATGGGTCCATCTATTACATTAACAAAATATACTGGGAATTTTAATTAATTTTCATTTATATGTTTGTTTCTGGAAATGTACAGTTTTAGGCATTTTAATATATTTTTCTTAGAAAAATAAATAAACTCAACTTTGTTTTGTTTTTTTCCCCACAAATGTACAGTTTATGTTGGTTTATTGCTGGTTTCTCCCGAACAGGCATCACACATACTGTATATCTGGTTTCACATTCTGGATTTGTATCTAGAGCTCGTTCGTTGGATCTGCTCACCGTGTCCCACTTGGCGTTCATCTTCTCCTTCTCAAACTTGGCGAACTCTCTGCGGTCGTGGATGATCATGAGGAGCTTCCAGATGAGGAGCAGGGCCAGGCCGATGAGCACGATGCCCGCTACCACGCCCAGAACGATGGGGATGATGTCAGGACCCGCCGGGCAGTCTGCAGGACACATACACACACACACACACACACACACACACACACACACACACACACGGGTTAATACTGACACTAACACTTGTACAGCCACGGTTGTCAAATGTGAACAAGTTTATATCTGGCTAAAGGTCACACACTACAGGACTTTTGGTCTTTTTTGAAAAGGTATAAAGTTGCAAGCGCATCTCGCGTTTGAAGTTTCCTGTCTATAGTAAAACGACTCGCTTTGAGACTCTTAAGTGTTCAGAAGATCATAACACTGCACAGATGCTGCAGTTTAAATGTACAACTTTATGAGAGGTGAGTAATAATTATTTTCGCTATTTCCTGAGTTTGTATGTTGCGTCTCTGTGTCCGTCACTCCTCAGCCCTTGATGCTCTGTTTTATTGTCTGTTTCCGTAGCGTTGCTGATGTTTGGTGGTTATGATATCAGATCATAACCACCAAACATCATAACAGAACAGTGTGACTCTGAGCCGCTCAGAGTCACACTGACACCACACACAAAACTGCACACAAAGAAACAAAGTTGGGCCTCCCCGAACTCCCTGGGGAGATGCAAATCGCTAGTCTGACTCATCAGCTGTTTGACCTCACAGCATTAGGATTCATTCGCTCGATGATAGACATGTACTTTTTTCATTTAACCAAACGCTGCTGTTTGGTCGTGACGTATGTAATGCACCAAATCCCGTAGGAAGAAGGACAATAACGTCTTTCCCCTTGATAAAATTCACCAAACATTCTCTTTATTCCAGCTTCAAATCCTCGATCTCTGGAATTGTTGCCAACACAGAATGTCTGTTTTTGTCTACATCCATCTCGACACTTTGTTTACTGTTGTGTTGTTCCACAAAAGGGACCCAGACAGACATGACGAGTTTGACATCTAAACCGTCTAGTGTATTCTGATTCCTGACCTAGTCGCTGGAGAGATATTAAACTGATCGGAGGCTCTAGGTGGGTAAGTCTAAACCAGGACTAACCCAGAATTTAACTAAGACTTAACAATAACTCAAATACTTTACTTAACTCAAATAATTATATTCAGACAGGGTCTTCACACAGCAAACCAGACACACGGGGGTAGATATTTGGTTGGTTTTAAATCAGATGCCTTTCCTGTTGCGACCAGTCACCCTCATAGTAAAATGGCAGGTGTTTTTGCCCACGGAAACAATGATAAACTTTGAACCAGCAACTCTCCAGTTAGTGGGTCAAACTCTAAACCCACTGTGCTCTCAAGATCCGAATGTGTACCAGATTTTTTTCCCCATGTACAGTTTTCGATTTTATATATACAGTTTTGATTTGATTTTACAGTATTTCCTGTCAGAGAATCAGGAAGTGCAAGTTAGCATGCTAGTTGTGGTTATCATGCTTGTTGTTGTTAGCATCACTGTGACAGCAAATCTCCGCTCTGGCCTTGGAAAGTTGTGAATATTAGGATGCCTGGAACGCATAAGTAAAAGACAAATATCTTTGGACCACTACAAACTCTTTAAACTTTCCACCAGTTCTGTTTTTCACATTTTGAAGACAGTAAAAACAGGTATATTCCCTTCAGTAAATCAGCGAACAATGGGACAGTGTACTTCTGCCTCTACTCGCATCCACGTTTAACAAATCTAACACCAAGCCAAAAGTGAATATCTGACTGCTGCTCTGTTGTGTCAGGAATAGTCAAAGCGTGGGGGGAAACACCGGTTTGGAGGTCCTAAAATAACAGCCCCGCCCCTCCGCGCTCACATGTGGCACTGTGCACCCCGCCCCTGTCATTACGGGCCTCTCCACACCCTGCTCCAGAAGGCTCACACACTTTCACAACTGCATGTCCCAGCAGTGTAGAAAAACAGGGATGGGTGCTCGAAACGTACGACTGATTTACAAGACAATTCCGTTTCCTTTCATTGGTTGATTTGACAAAGAGACTAGATTAAATGGAACCAGATACACACATTCAGAAAAAAATAAGTTTAAATCTGACATAACTATCCATAAAATTTCATTATGGGTCTTATTGGAACAGTGTTGGTTCGATCCCAGGTTTGAGCAGTGTATACTCTTCCATTCCAAAGCCTGAATGAGTGACCGATTTGCAGTAATTGGAGAATTTGTTGGCATCATACAGTGAATCTGTTTTTGTAATTTTCTTTTTTATTTTCTTAAAGTGACTGTTAAGTTAATGATTACAAAATAACTATTTGTGTTTTCATAGTGCTACTACATATCCATATAAGGGTCCGGTCAAGCAGTAATGGAGGGAAACGGGCAGATTTTTGACATTCAAATGTCTCTTATTCAGAAACTAGAGGAACTAGAAATAAGTAAAGTATCAGAATGTAGGAAAGAGTTACACTCCAACAGGGTCAAGTTAAACCTGTGATATTCTTTCAAGTTGTTGACCAAAAATTTAAAAACTCATGTCGGTAACGGAGGGAATGAAATATGCAGCACTTTTTGGGCAATAAATCCAAACAGTGATAACTCTTGGTTCTCACTTCCATATCCTTAACAAACTGGTTTGAATATTTGCTTCATATAGTTTTCTACCATATGGTACAAGATTAGGTTGAAAAACCTCTTACTTTTTGACTCATGAGATTTTTTATTAAGAAAGGTCATGGTAACGGAGGGAAAAGTAACGGAGGGAAAATTGTGCAAACAAGTAGAAGGTGCAGGATTTTACATCATTTTAAATATTTTTTTTTTATTTTTTTAAATCATGTACCTTCATCAACAGTTCAAAGATGGAATAACACAAGATATGATGAAATACATCCATTTATTTACATGATTTTTGGGTCTTTGAAATTTGGGAGATAATTTTTGTTCCATGTTTCATACATGGTCTGTTTAAAACATATGGAACTTTAGAACCAAAAATGGTACAGAAAAAAGGTCAACAGTTTCATAAACTAGAGTACATATGTATCTGTTCAATACATTTTTATATCAGATGCATTAACTTGAATTTTGGCCTTGCTGTTTACTTCTGCTTGACCAGGCCCACATACAGTTTTCATTGTCAGAATATTTTATTTTACCTATAATTTCTTAACCCCCCTTATAATTCTTTTAATCATGCCTCATTCTTATGTGTTCCCTTCTTTTTTTATTATCCTATTCATTTATCGTATTTATTTATTTATTTATTTTATTGTTCAGTTTTTTCTATTTTCATTTGGGTTCTGTCATGTTTTCAAGGAAAAATTAGTTGGAACTATATTTTATGTTTTCTTGTACTTTTGTATTGTATTGTACTGTAGTTTTGAACTGTATTATTGTATTATTGTATTATTGTATTGTATGTATGATTGTACCCTTAAAATTATGCTCAGGAATTAAAATTAAAACCTGTAATATAAAGTAATTTAAAATAATGAAATCCAAATAAATATAAAACTAATAACAGAATATATTTCTGTAACAAATACCCATGTTTGGATGTCTGTTAGTGCCTAAATAAAGAGCCAATCAGGAGAGAGGTTGATGAAGAGATTCCCCCTTTCCCGCACGTACAGCCCGTTTGGCCAGGGGTGGGGCTTAGCAACGGGGCACGACTGCTGCCAATTTGTCACTTAAACCTGCTAAAGCTGGCAGCAGTGACCTCGCAGAAAGAAGGCACTTGATTGGGCTGTTATTAATGTCCAAATCTTGATTTACGGACAAAATAGAGAAATAAAAACACCAGGGAGTTTTAAGACCTGAATGAGAATGGCACAGATTGACATCACATTGTCAAGTGAGAAAATGTTTGGAGAAGTGTTCTTTAAACCATTGCAGTGTTATGAATTATTGCTTTATTCTTCTACACTTCTTCTATTCCCAAATCTGTAACTAATCATAAAATTGTTCATTGTCACAGGCCTCACACATGGTTCTGTGGTTTCTATGTCAACACAAACTTCAAAGCATCATTTTCTGTACTCCTCCTCCTCCTCCTCCTTGTCATCCTACTCTGCCTCTACACCTCTGACTCCTCTTCTCCCCCTCCTTGTTCTCCTCCTTCTCCTGAGCCTTACTGACAGTGTGCTCCTCCCATGCTCCTCGACCTACTCCTCATCTTCCTCGTCCTTGTCCTCCTCCCCTGCGCTTACACATCATTTTCCACCTCATCCTTCCCTCTTTCTTTCTGCTACTTCTTCTCCTCCTCTCTCCTCTTTCTCCTGCTCCAACTTTTCCTCCTCATCCACTCCTCTCCCTCCTCCCGCTACTTCTTTTCCTCGTCCTTACCGAGCGTGTCGACGACGTGCACCTCCTTCTCGGTGTTGTTGTTGACGGCGTAGGTGTAGTAGAACCAGCAGTCGTTGGCGTCGCGCTCCTTACAGTGCATGACGGGGTAGGTGGCGTCGTTGGGCTGGGGCAGTTTGTCTCGGGCCTTCACTTTGATCAGGTTGAAGTACATGCAGTCTTTCTCACACGTGTCCTTCTTCTCTCCTGTGCCAAACGTACGGCACTGCACACACTCCCTGAACACGAGAGGAGCACAGGAAGAGTTAAAGATCACGATCACAATCACACAAGCAATCATGTTTACATTTTAAAACGGCACATGCAATTTATTTTTACTAGGCGTGTAAAGGTGCATGTATGAACCGGTACAAGGACGTTCAGTTCGGTGCAGGGCTGTGCACGAGTGAATTTGTGCAATTCGTGTGTGTTTACATTCTACCACTACATGTGCAGATACGTGAAGGTTCAGCTCGTTAATATTCTCAAGGAACTCGTCCGTGTTTGGGGCAGTGTTTACCGCAGTGCTTTATAGTTAGGATGGCCACCTTGACTCCATCCCACAACCTCTGTCCATATCGAAAGTGTATTTTCAACCACGGGGGACATTGTAGTTACTTACTCTAGTTTACCTGAAGTAAGTGCATTTAACAAAACAAATGATATTGTATTGTGACTTCCCCTTTTTAAGGAAAATGAATTCTTTTAACATCAATAATGTCCTTATGACCCTTTTTTATTGAATCTATTCTTGCATTTTGTATTGTCTGTTGGTTCGGTGTTCTCTCTGTGTCTAGTAGAAATCGTCTGGCTCGGTTGGTCAGGACAGCTGCAACAAATAATGGAGAGTCCTGAGCCCGTGCTCTGTGAATGCCCCCGGATCAGAGCTCAGACTTCCTTTATTTCTGAAGTCATAACCAGGATGAATGCTCTTATAGCTCGGATCAGTCGTGGTGAAATGCTGTTACATGCCTGTTCTTTTTTTTCTTATTTTTAAAAGAAGGTTTGTCTGTATTGTTGAACTAAGCTTAACCTGTGCTTTAGTATATTATTGAATTGTATTGTATGTCTGTGTGTGACACTGCAGCACATTCATTTCCCTCTGGGACAATAATAAAGCTGAAAGTTGAAGTTGTAGTTCCCCGTCATTTGCCAGACCAATGAGCAGTGTTAACATAGTAATTAGTCACACAGTAATTACACTGAAGGATGTTTATATGATAACAGGCTACCAAAACGTTTAGATGTATGGGCTTTTCAGGGTTGTATTACACTGACATCTGTCTGTTCCAGTTCTGTCTGTGTTCTTCAGGCCAAACCTTTGTCCAGTCGACAGAACTAAACCATTTTGCAGAGGGAAATATAATTGGTTGTGCAAGAATCACCCAGAGCCCAGAGCTGGCCCTGATCCCGACTATCGAGGTCCTGAACTCTGATAACCCCTGTCCTCATGTCCCCAACCCCCTGTCACCCCCAGCCCCGTGTCTGTGTGTGTGTGTGTGTGTGTGTGTGTGTCTCACTTGTGCTCGGTGCAGACCCCGGGGCAGGTGGGGCAGGTCTCACACGTGGGGCCCTGGAACTTGGGGTCAGTACATTTGCAGGTTCCACACTCGCAGGTGCCGCGGCCGTTACAGATCTGTTTGTTACTGGCCATACATGTGCTGTTGTCCAGAGAACAGTCGCACGCACTGCCCGTCCAGGGGTGGTCACATATGCACACACGACACTCACAACGCCCGTGTCCTGAACGGAGGGAACAGAAGAGAGAGACAGGTTAGACAATGGAGTAAGTGTGATTTTATTAGACATTTTATTTAACCGTTTGCAAATACTTTTTCATCTGTTGTCTCAGTTCTTCTGTCCATTTACAAAATCCACCTGGTACCCACATCAGTCATGCCTCATTTAATCTGCTTACCACTGGGTTAAAACTTTATAAGAGGAGGTGTTTCTTCATGTGTTTCTTTCTTTTTTTTGTCCTCCATCTGGTAAAACTGATGCAACTATGACAATGAAGGGAAAGCTGTAACTCACTTATTTTCAATCAGATCAACCATTCCGGGAAGAATCAGGATCAGTTTGTACTCCAACTCTGCTTTTTACGTTAGAACAATCCCCTAAATCCCATTGACTATACCTATTCTTATATTACCAAAATATATATAAAGTCCAGGCAGAATTTGAAACCTAATTTTCCTCTGTGCAGAGCTTGTTCCCACTTATCCTGAGAGTAGATCAGATAGAAGCAAAAACTCCAAAGTCTCAGCTTCACAAAGAGTCCCCCCCATTTGTCTGTGCTCCAAAGACTCCAAAGGGTTCAGACACAGACTCAGTTTGAATAAATATTTTTGTCCCGTATTTTTCAGCTCATGTTTATACAATAGCTTTAATAAAAAGCTGAATAAAAATAATTTAATTCTGAATAAAAATGTATTCCACTTTAAAAAGACCATGTAAACACTTAATTTCTAATGAAAATGATTATTCGGAATTAAACTTAATTCTGAAGTAAGTGGGTGGTTTATTCTGATTTTAAAGCCAAATTAATTTATTCCTGGATCATGTAAACGTTTATTCTTGTTAAAAAATAATGTCGGTGGTTCAGCACATGCTCGTTGGGTCGTCCTTCTGACGCGATCTGGACAATCCAGCTCCAGCAGTCTTGGCGTTGGACTTTCATCCACGTCTCTTTGAATTTGTGAGCGGGATGTGGGAGTGGGCTGAGGTAGAGCAGACTTTGGCTCAGTTTGTCTTCTTGCTCCCTTCTCCGACACTCTTCCTTTCTCCTCAGTTGACAGATGTAAAGAATTAAAGAAGAATAGAATTCTCCAACTGCTGCTTCAGTATCATCAGAACGACTGAGAAAAAAGTTTGGATCATGTTTGTGTCCGTGGCGGTTTAGAAGGTGACTGAAGGAACATGAGGTTTAACCCTGGTTTAACTGTTAACAGCTGCTCTGGGCCAGTTAACTGGTCTGAAGCTGTTCATTTACTGCTCCAGACCAGGTGAAGTGTTTCTAGAAACAACAGATGAAAAAGTCTTTGCTATAATCTGTCTGTTAATATGCACTGTGCTTATCAAATACAAGTACAAGTCTTTGCCCAGTTAGGGTTATGTTAGTTGGTAAAGAAAAAAAAAAAAAACAAAAAAATAGCCTCATCAAAATATTAACTTCATATATATATATGTATATATATATATATATATATATATATATATACACACACACACACACACACACACACATATATATACACACACATATATATATATATAATTTTTTTAAGAACATAGGCCAATTGGAAATGTATACTGACAAAATGAAAAAAAATGTTTAAATTCAATACCTGAGACTAATTATCTTATACCAGCATATTGAGACTGTTCTTGTCTACATGGTCGTTGGAGCTCGTACCTCCACAGAGCTTGTTTCCTGAGCGGTCACAGTTGAAGTTGTCACATTGGCAGTACTGGCCACTGTAGCGCTCCTCCGGGTTCTCTCTCTTCTTACACTCGCAGGTGCCGCACACACAGTCTCCGTTGTTGGAGCAGATGTCGGTGCCGTTGTCTTTGCGGCAGGTGCGGTCCATGTCCTCTGTGGCCACGTCGTTACTGCTGCACTCACACTGCCGGCCCACCCGGCCGTCGTTACACCTGACAGGGACACGACAGCGCAGTTTAGATTTATATTCAAGTGATTATTTTCAGATTTGGTCTAGTTTTAGTTGAAAATATGCACATTTAAAGATCCCATGTTACACTATTTTCTGATCTGTGTTAATATTGTTTCCTCATCACAAACAGACCTGGAGTTGTGTTTTGTTTCATCCACACCTGTTTAATACACAAAACCTGAGTTCTTTTCTCAAACAGAAAACACTCCACTTTCTTTTTAAACTCTACACACATTCACAAAAATCATTTTAATGATTTCAGCCCTGGAATTGCCAATATCTACTGAACAAAAGGTAAGAGATACTTGTTAACTTAAGGTGGAATGGAGCATTTTGAGCTTTGGAAATGTAGACACACTAATAATAAAAAGTTACTCAAACATGTGAGAATGAAACAAAACACAATTCCAGGTCTGTTTTTGGTGAAGCAACATTATAACATGGCTTAAAGCTCACAAGAGTAAATTTTGCATAATATTCCAGAAGCCAGGAGGAAACGCAAATGCCGCAGTAAATACAAACGCGACAACACAACATAAAGACACAGCAAACCAAAAAAAGCCACAACACGCCAAAAAAAAGACACAATGGAAGTCCCGTGGGACTATTTTAATGCAAACACAACAACAAAAAGCCAAAACAGGAGTGACCGCGGGACTCTGACGGACCAAGCAATTTTCCGACGGACCAAGCGAAGCGTTAAAAGATCAAGCGGGAAGTGAATGGAAAAAGTTGAAGAACAAGAATGTGACAAGTAAAGGAACGGAAAAGTGAACGAAGTTGAAAACGTAAGTAAAAGCAATTTATTGTATTGTGTCCAGGATCGATGTCACTGTCTGACCGACACTTCCGTTGTGGCTTTTTGTTGTGGTGTTTGCATTTGTGTTGTGGCTTTTGTATTTGTTGTGGCATTTGCATTAAAATAGTCCCACGGTCTCTTCCTTTGTGGCTTTTTTTGGTGTGTTGTGGCTTTTTGTGGTGTGTTGTGGCTTTTTGTGGTGTGTTGTGGCTTTTTTTTCCTTTTTGGTGTGTTGTGGCTTTTTTTTTGGGTGTGTTGTGGCTTTTTTTGGTGTGTTGTGGCTTTTTTGTGTGTTGTGGCTTTTTTTGGTTTGTTGTGGCTTTTTGTTGTGTTGTGGCTTTTGCATTTGTGTTGTTGTGTTTGTATTTGTTGCAGCATTTGAGTTTGTTATGAGTCCTTCAGTACAATATGGGACCTTTAATCCATATTGTTTTACATTCACAGTTTTTCTATCTGTACTTTCTGCTCTAACAAAAGTGTGAAAATGGTAAAGTTGTGAACTGTTGCAAAAGTTGTGGACTTACTTGCAGGCTCCACACTCGTAAGTGCCGTTGCCGTGGTGACACAGGGGGCTGTTCTTGATGCCCTCTTTGTGGCAGTCGCACTCACAGATGAAGTTGAGGACGATCTCCACCTCCTCAGTGAAGCCCAGAGGTTTGATCTTTATGGTTTCAGATTTGTCCTTTTTGGGACAACCCTTAGACGTGATGCTGATGTTGAACGTCACCTGAAGCACAAACCAACACTGCTTATTATTTCTACAACAGCTACGGTTGGATACAATGGTCAAAAGTTTTAGAACACCCTAATTTTTCCTGTTATTTATTGCATTTCAAGTCGTGCCAGTCCAATGAAGAACTTGAAATGGTACAAAGGTAAGAACTGAACAGACAGAGGTTGAAAAAAAAGATAAAAGATACAAAACACAAGTCCAAACTCTGCCAAAACTACCTCAGGAAAAAAGAACAAGATGGTAAATCTTAAAACCATGCAGTGTCCAGCAGCACAGTGTCCAGACTTAAACCCCATGGAGCTGGTTTGGGATGAACTGGACAGAAGAGTGAAGCAACCTACATGTGCCACACATTTATGGAAACTTCTCCAACAGACTTGGGAAGAACTTTCTGAACAATATTCGATTTCTATTGCAAAAAGAACGAGCCACGAGTGTGTTCAGCTGTTACATCTGCCAAAGGTGGACACACACATCAATCAAAAGTTTAGAATACGTTTTGATCAACAGTACATTAAAAACCTGGAAGAAGTGTGGTGTTCTAAAACATATCACCAGTATTGTATAAAAAGATGGATAACAATTACGGCTAAAATTTAAAAAATGGACTGGATGCTTATTCTACCACACAAACTTGAATTATGTTCTTCATGTAGGTCACAAAAACATTCTATGACAGAAATGGTGATCATGCCTTTTTCAATAACTGAGCAGCTCTACACTATGCACCATTTTTGGTTTGCAAAAACAACACTACTATTCATAACATTCATTACAGAAAAAAATACACACTTAAAGAGGAATTTACTCTCTACTTATCTGCCCCCTGCTCAAATGCAGTCTGGGCGCACATTTGTTCATTTGCACAACAAAACACATCAGCATCAACTAAAAATGTGTTCATTAAATTCAAAATGACGCACTGAAGATGACATACCCTCTAAGGCTATGTTCAGACTGCAGTGCTTAATGGTCAATTTGGATTTTTTTTGTGAAGTCCAATTTTTTTTGCGAGGTCATTCATATTTCCAATTTAATGCGACTTATATGAGATCTCCAGTGTGAACTTTAAAGGCCTCAAAAGTGTAGCCTAGCCTCGGACACAAGTAAAATCTGCGTGACATTTATTTTCGCTTATTATTACAGAAAAGAAATATTAACTTTATGTGTTATATCTATGTATTTATGTTTTCTATGCATGTTCTATGTATTACTGTCCGAATAAACATTCATTCATTCATTCATAGCCTCAAAAGAAGTCGCCTAAACGCTGGGCAAAAATCTGGTCCAGTTCTTGGTAAAAAGGACAGGTTACACGTCCACGGCCACTTCGTTTGTTTGAGTCTTTAGCCTCTTGTACTTGTCTCACAGGCTCTTTATTTTTGGTTAACATTGGAGCCAGGACGCCTGTAGTTGCGCTCGGACATTTCTTTGGCAATCATTTAAAAAACCGCCTGATTCCCTCCAATTTGGCCTTAATACAACAATCCCCCTAAATATTAATGAACTCTCTAACCTCCATTAACTAGACTCTAAGCCTGGAGATGGGATGAATGTGACCTGGCCGTTCAGACTGAAATCGCATGTCAATAAATAGAATATGTATCAGTTTTAGGAGCACATATCCAAGTGGCCTGGATCACATTTGAAAAAATTGTATCATCGTTACATTAAAAGATCAGATACAGGTCGCGTAGGGGCAAAAACATTGGATTTGGGTCACTTCAGGCAGCAGTCTGAACATAGCCTAAGTGTTTTTGGACAATAAAAAGATATGGATATGTATTGATAGAATTTACACACAAAAACAGACAAAACAAAGAGCAACAGAAAACCAGGGCCACTGTACTTGAATTGATTATCGATACAATTGGATATGATTCTACATACACATTTTTAGGGGCAATAGTTTAGCAATAATCCAAAAGCTGGTGGTTCAGTCCTAGTTTCTACAGGTACAAAGTGTTGTTGTGTCCTTGTGTACACTGGTGTATGAAAGTGTGTGCGTGTGAATGAGTAATTGGCACCTCAGTATAAACTGCTTTGAGTCATTGGAGATGTAAAAGTGTTATATAAATATGATCTTTTTCCATTTAGTGGAACATACCCTCTACTTATACCACTTGCTATAATTTATACTATATCCACACTGGAAAAAAACAAAGTAAACAGTTGAATGCCAGTCTCAAGTGACTAAGTACAGATGGTGAATGAGTGACACATAAAAACAGTTCCAGGCTCCCGTAGCTCACCTCGTCCCCTATGGAGATGTTGGAACACTTGCGTCCGTTCTCGCCCTCGTTGACCACTCCGTTCTTGCAGCGAGCCGTGTACCCGATGGTCACTCCCTCTGGAAGTTTACTGTTCTCCAGGATCACCTCAGAGGAGAGAGACTGCCCGGAGATAAAGCACAAATGTTTTTATTATAACCCCACCGTGGAATGTGCCCTGCTGGTTTTATTTAGACACGTCACCGGGCACGAAGTCAAGGGTAAGAGGAGGATTTACTAATACTTTCATGTGGGAGCCAGGAAATCAAAAGTACTGTCCTCAGATAATACTGGCACACAGATACGCAAAGAACATGGTCAGATATTGTCCTTACATTTCTTATGATCTGATTACACTTACTATGGATTACTTGTATTATAGACCTTAAAATATGCTGAGTACCTTTAACTTGGCAGGTCATGTTTTAGAACAGACATGTCAGACTCAGGCCCAGGGGCCAAATTTCGCTTGAAATATAATTATATTTGGCTCGTAAGATCTTGTCAAATCTGTATTAGAGCTGCCCACGGGCTACAGATAGACTATAGAGACATTATTTATTTAAAATGTTGTTATTATTTTATATTCCGCTTGTTCTGGATTCAATGTTTAAACAAAACTATTGTTAAACATTAATTTTAATAAGAAAAAGTTTAACATTACAGATCTCGAAAGAAGAGAAAACATGCAGATGTTGCTGAAATTTTTCAATAAATATTTAGTTTGGCCCACGACTTAGTCCCACTTTTTAATTTTGACCTCTGTGAATTTAAGTTTGACACCCCCATTTTAGTAGCCTGAGTCATCAGATGGTTTCACTTTGTAGAAACTGTCTGACCTCACAGTGTTAGAATTTGTTCGCTCGACGGTAGGCAGGTACTTTTTATCATTTAACCAATCACTGCTATTTGGTCGTGATATATGTAATGCGCCGCTAACAGGGCTAACTGGTATATTAAGCTTTTCGCAAATCCTGTAGGAAGAAGGACAATAACGTCTTTCCCCTTGATGAAATTCACCAAACATTCTCTTTATTCTGGCTTTAAATCCTCAATCTTGGGAATCGTTCACAAAATTGAATGTCTGGCTCTTCGCTGTTTGGCTGGTGCCCAAACTTGGACTTCCGGGGTTTTTGCAAACTGTTTAGTGAATTTTGATTCTTGACCTAGTCGCTGGAGAGAAATTAAACTGAGCAGAGGCACTAGGTGGCACTAGCCTGGCTACCATTTTAGAACTTCAAATAATGAAATCTGGTGTAGGGCTCCATCTACTGACAGCAGAGAGAAATACAATGGGGGAAACAAAACTAGAGTTATCTAATTAAGAAACATGCCCTGGCCCATGCCATGTTAATATAGAGTAATGAACACAATTTGACATAAAAATGCTTTGAATGAGCCCGGTGATCAGTTATAGACTTTGAAACTGCACAGAGTTTCTACCTCTGACGTAACAATCCTGGGAAAATTCAAACAGTATTTTGTGACAGCTCAAAGCAAGAACACAAGATTGATCAAACAAATGTAAACGTTAAAATGTTAAATGTTTTTTTTAGTCCAGTGCTATCTTTTTTAAATCAACAAATAATTACTAGAAGTGGACTACAGTTGTGGCATAAACTCACATACGTATTTTAAACTATATATATTTATTAGTCATTTCTTTTACTTCTTCTTTTACAATGACTTACTGAATCATTTACAGAATTACAGAAGTTAAATTCAGTTTAAATGTCATGAAGACCAGAGAAGGGAGATGTAACTCAATTAAAGATTAACTGTGCCCAAAATGTACAAAAAAACAACGTCTTGGTCCATACAGATCTATTATAAAAGCAGCAGGAGGATATGTTAGGACAGGAATAACTCTGGAGCACTGCAAAGCATTTAAAGTGAATTCATTTTGAAGTGTGCAGGACGTACGTTGTAGGCGTCGATGATGAGGTTGATAACGTTGCTTGAGTTGGCCGAGAGGGTTCCCACTGCAGACTTTGGGATTAAATTTTTCAGCTCCTAAAAAGAGAAAATCAAATTACTCTTTGTTGATCTTGTGACCACAGGAATTCCGACTGAAAACAGTGGTGGAGACAAGGGGGAATTTTACTCTTTAATCCATTTTGAACTGTTTTAGAGCATTAGTGCGTTTTACGAGCACTTCTATTATCACCTAATGACATCATGAGTTGGAACAGCGTGTTTTGAGCACAGGATTTGGGTTGGAGATGGGGTGGGGTCACACTAACACACACACACACACACACACACACATTCAAACTGGAACAAAACAAGGAAGTCAACCTGGACAGGACAAGAACTGACCCAGAAAAGTACATTTTGAATACCGTATTTTTCGGACTATAAGTCACTCCAGAGTAGAACTCGCACTAGCCAAAAAATGTATAATGAAGAAGAAAAAAACATATAAGTGGTAATTTTTGGGGAACTTTATTTTATAAACTAAGGGACCAGGAACTGATATTTTATCTTGAAAGGCAAGTTCTAGTAAAAACAACAGAATAAAGAACAACAGGCTGAATAGGCGTTAATATGTTAACGTCACATATGGACAGTTCTTCAGATAATTATAGCATAAACAACAGAACATAAGTTTACCAAACTCTCCATTTCACTCACACAAATCACTAAATCCATTGAATCCATTGAATTCTTCATCCCCGGTGTTACTTCTGAGGAACTTTGCAACTTTGGTTGTCTGAAGTCCATGCTTTGTTATGCAATGACTTTCAGGGAAGTTGCATGGTGCATCCTCCCAGTTGCTGTGAAGTAGACTAGACCCTCTCACAGCTGTGAGTCTAAAAATTCGCACCGGATTTTAAATTGCAGGAAACACCCAAACCATGAAAAAGTGTGATTTATAGTCAAAACTATATGGTAATATAGGACCTTAAAGCCACACTGTGTAACTTTTCTAATGAAGGACCTGCCATCTGCTTGTCTCCATGGTTGTATTATTATTATTTTTACCTGCAAAGTTCCACAATATGGCATTAAGTGTATCCATTTTGTAATGATTCAATCAAAAGCATTTTTATTGCTAACAGCTCATTTTTATTGTACCATTATTATTATTATTATTATTATTATTATTATTATTATTATTATTATTATTATTAATAATAATAATAATAATAATAATAATAATGAATAATAATAATATCATTTTAATGTTCATTTTAATTTAATTTTATGGACACAGCAATTACATTGGACGAACCCAATGTAGTGTTTTAAATGTAAGAGTAAGAAATGTGAATTCTCTGCACCTGTCCATGTCTAAATACTTGATCTGGTGGTATAATCTTTTTGGTGTTACGTCTCACTGTGTAACATTCCATTCAAAAGAAAAACATCTCCATGGAATCGAGGATTTACACTCTCTACCGGTAAAATTCCACGAAGCAGCTTTAAATAAATCTAATAGTTCTCCTCCCCTGCTGGAAAACAACATTTGCAGTCCCCTCTTTGACCTTTTGTGCCTTGTCTATTTTAAATCAGGCCTAAAATTGTAGCGCTGGTGTTATTCTTTGTGCTTCTGTGTCGAGACATAATAAAACGGCTGTTTATCAAATTCAGCTGTGAGAGAGTGACCCGGAGAGGCAGCTCTGGTGAGGTTAGGCCCTGCTACTGGTAACTGGAAGCAGATGTGAGGTGCTGAGTGCAGGTGGAGAGTGTTAGAGTGGAGCCTGGGCTCAAAGTGCAAACGGCAGGTTAGACTTCTCTTTTACTCTTTTCACTTTACAGGTTTACATTATATTTAAAGGGCCAATATTACACTATTTTATGATCTATGTTATAATGTTGTTTCCTCGTTAAAACAGACCTCAAGTTGTGTTTTGTTCCATTCATACATGATTAATACACAAGTTTTTCTCTCAGACAGAAAACACTCTGTTCCACCTTGTGATGTCATGTGGTGATACAGGAAGACCAATCCAGTCCACTTTATTTCTATAGCACATTTCACAAACAAACAGTTTCCAAAGTGCTGCATACATACTAATAACAACAATAATATATGTATATACAGGTTTTTTGGACTATAAGTCGCACTTTATTCTTGGTTTGGGTGTTTCCTGCGACTTACACTCCAGTGTGACATATATTAAATTTCAGACTGACAGCTGCGAGAGGCTCTAGGCTTGTGTATCAGTTTTTTGATCATGTCTTTGGGAGAAAAAGCTGCTGTCCTGCTGTAAGTAATAAAATATGCAGCAGAAAACTGTAATCGAGCAGCAGAAAGAAAGTTTGGAGTGAGCAAGAAACTTGTGAGGGACTGACGGAAAGCAGGAATGGAGAACATGGAGGGTTGGATGGAGGGTGCTCCATGTAACTTTTCTGAAGTCACTGGATGACAAAGCATGGACTTGCAAAGCATGGAGTGTTATTATTATTATTTGCCTTTCAAGATGAAATGTCGGTTCCTGGTCCCTGATTTTATAACATAAATTTCCTCCAAAAAGTTCAACTTATAGTCAAGTGCGACTTGTATATATTTTTTTCTTCTTCATTATGCATTTTCTGGATGGTGCGACTTATACTCTGGAGTGACTTAAAGTCCAAAAAAGATGGTAATATAATGATAAAATAAACACTCACATTTAATAATACTAGTCTTAAATTAATAAAACCAGTAAAATAAAATAAGAGCAAAAGCCATAGAGCAAAGGCCATAGAATAGAAATAAATAAATAAAACCAATAAAATACATTAAAATAAATAAAATAAAGACACAGAAGTGCTTTAATGTGCTTGTAAACTCCATACAGCTTCACTAGAATAATTTTGGATGATTTCAGCTCTGGAGATTGTCACTTTGAACTGAACTAAAGGTGAAAAGGTAGCTGTAAACTTGAAAACTACCACTTCATGACATCACAAGGTGGACTTTATCTTGATCATTTTTTTCTATTTACTTATTTTAGTGAAACTGGATACGGTCAGCAAATATATACCTAGAGTTAATTCTATAATTGTTTCCAAGCAACCATACTGTTAACAAGGGCCAAAACTTGTCTAAATTGTACAAACTCAGGGACCACATTTAGATGAGATCAAAACATTGTTCAAAGTCATTGCTGAGTGTGTGCACCGACTCTCAGATCTGTGAGCTGTGGTGAGCATCTTGTGACAAACCAAACCTTCTATGAATGTCTATGGGTAGCGGTTGGCCTACTCTATTTTAGAACCCAGCACTACTTCCTGTATTTTTGACTTCTCTTCCTAAACTTTTCACCACAAACTGTCACTAAACGGATGTAAAACCAAGTCCGAATTAGTAGAACCTGACCTGGTACACGGGCTGGAACTCCTCTGTGACGGCGAAGATGGTCTGGATGTTGTTGTCGCTCAGCTTCTGCACCAGATGAGCGATGGAGGGGTAGTCCTGCACAGAGAGAAGACACATTTAAACTAAGAATCAAAATTTTAAGAAGTTTTATAGAGCTCTGGATTGTGACGTCACACCTCGTAGAATTTCCAATCAGCTAAATGTTAAACCCGGAGATATTTGAGATGCTACTAAACTTGGAGTTAATTCAAAGTACTCTGACATTATAGGGGGATAGATGTATTTACTAGTAGTAACGCACCATTTTTTTGCATTATTCCACACTTTTGTTAACGCCTTTTTATTTCTAATGAACCTACACCATTAATAATAATACCATATTTTCCAGACTATAAGGTGCACCCTATTATAAGGCGGCAGTATCAGTAATGTTGAATTCTCTCATCTATTTTCATACGTAAGGTGCACAGGATTATAAGGAGCACTGAATGAAACAAATGGACAACACTTGAGACTGATCTCTTAGTCCAGGCGTCCACGATCCATTTCCAGATCGTGGCATAATTCGCCCGGCGTTGCCTAACTGTCTTGGTGAATACGTATTATGAATGTGAATGTGGGTGGATCATTTAAGTTTTTTTTTTTTTTATTTCCTACAAGGATGACTCAAAAATACGTTGAGAAATAATGTGTTTAATGCAGCTTTGAGCACATTTGTTTACATTTTACAGAAACAAAACTCAAAACCACATGGCTAATTTGCATAAACTATAAGCAATGAAAAAAACTGCTCGCTTTTTGTGTACTGATGTGGTTCAGCTTTTGTCAGACTAATTCTATGAGGCTCCTGACTACCGTAGCTGTAATGTTCAGACAATCCATCAATTGGTGCGGCTTCGTAGTTTTTATAAATAAATATTCTGACAGATTTTTGAGCGCTGTGTACCACATAAAGTCTGTTCGAGGTCAGTAAGCACAACCAGAATGAATACAGAAGGCACACTGGATTATAAAACGAGCTGTCGATTTTTTAGAAAATTAAAGGATTTAAAGTGCACCTTATAGTTCAAAAAATAATACACTGGACTTACAGAGCGCTCAAAGATGCTTTACAAACAAACTTGAAGCAACACCCTAGAAAACAGGGGGAACCATGGGAGGAATGCCAGATTGAACAGGTGAGCTTTTAGTCGTGATGGATTGTGGGAGCGAGTTCCAAATGAACAGTCCCCCAAGGTCCGGTGCTTTGTCTTGATGTGGGGAGTGAGTGAGGGAGATAAAATATACTTGCCTATAATAAACCTAAAATAATATACCGTATTTTTTGGACTATAAGTCGCACTTTTTTCATGGTTTGGGTGTTTCCTGCGACTTATATTTCGGTGCAATTTAAAAATTTAAATTTTCAGACTGACAGCCACGAGAGGGTGCTCTAGGGTCGTGTGTCAGTATCTGCTGCTCCTGTTACTCCTGCACTGTCACTTCGCGCCCTACTGTACATGCCTCCTGTAGAAATAGCTGCTGTCTCGCTGTAGTGAAATAGTGAAATATTCAGCTGAAAATGGTAAGCAAGCAGCAGAGAGAAAGTTTAGAGTGAGTGAGAAACCTATGATTGACTAGCGGAAAGCGGGGATGGAGAACACAGCTTCACGGTAGCCGGGCAGATGCGCCATGTAACTTTCCGGGAAGTCACTGGATGAATCGACAAAGAATGAAACAATCGAAACCATCCTGTCAGGATTCAAAAAGGCCGGAATAATTCTAACTGGAACTGATGCTGAGTCTGACGACAGCGACACAGAAGAGGAAGCGGTGCTCCATTTACATCATGGATCTACGGTTTATCTCCAGAGGTCACGCAGAAGTGACACCAAGGATGAAGAATTCAATGGATTTAGTGATTTGGAGGGAGATTGTGAGTTTGGTAAACTTATGTTATGTTGTTTATGCTATAATAACTGTTAATATGTTACGTTAACATATTAACAGTTAACATATTCTGTTGTTTTTACTATAACTTGCCTTTCAAGATGAAATGTCAGTTCCTGGTCTCTGATTTTACAAAATACATTTCCACAAAAAAGTGCCACTTATATTCCAGTGCTACTTATATATGTTTTTTTTCTTTTTCATTATGTATTTTTTGGCTGGTGCGACTTCTACTCCGGAGTGACTTATAGTCCGGCAAATACAGTAATTATTTTAGACACAAATTTTAAGTTAGGTTCACTTCTAAGGCCTGTGTAAACCTTCGTTGCTTTCTTACGTTTAACCAACTACCAAAACATGACCAACTCCTGCACACTTGAAGAATGTCTGAAACTCTCACCAAACTTAAACATTATTACTACGCCGTTTATAGTAATTACAAAACTGTTTACTATGCGATAGATTTCCAATGTATACACTACAGTATCACGGTTTGTGTGCATATTAGCTTTAGAGTGGTAATGAATACACAGACGAACACTTCCTTTCACTAGCTCCACGCTGTATTTATGTTGGAATAATTGGTCCCCGGCCACACTGTAAATGTTTACAGTTAGCAGATGGATTTGTACTGCTCTGTGTCATGTTGCTAAGCTGCTACCATAATATAATGCAACAGTTCAGATATGCTTCCTTATTTGAATAAAAATGTGATAACAACAACATGCGATGTTTAAATAACACACTTTAGCAGCACTTACGGAGTTAATGGGTCCAGTCGCCGATCAAATTCATCAAGCTAAATATTTGTGAATTTACCTTTTGGATAGTTTATGGCAAAGTACATGGCAATGGGAATCTGGCTCTTGTCTACCATCTGTGAGTATGACATCATCACATTCTATCCGAAAACCGCCAAACCACATTCCTGGATTTCCTGGGAATTTATTTCTGATTAAAGTGGAACTAAACACTAAATTCAAGTTTTTTTCGCAACTTATGACTTTAATATGCTTTAAATCAACTGTTCCTAGTAATTTTTGCAAACTTTCTTGCCAACTATGTACATTGGCAACTTTCTGCACCAAAACGCATAAATCCAAGTTTGTGCTGCCTCCAATTTCAAGTACTATGTGACATCACACAGGACTGTTCTGCAGGTGTTCTCATATAAACACTAGCTGCAGGGGCGAAGTTTGAAGTGTGGATACTGGTTAGACCAGGGATCTCGAACCTTTTTCCTCCCGTGAGCTACTTTTACAAAACGAAAATGCCAGAGAGCTGCGAGTTTTAGCTGTCACAAGAAATTGAGCCACGGCGAGCCTTAGATCAGGTACAGTTAAATGCCTATAAAACATAAACCATTATCCATTTATTAGTGTACAAAGTTAGGAATCAAAAGGCATTTACCATATTTTACAAGCTATAAGGCGCTCTGGATTATAAGACGCATTAAATGGTCTATTTTCGAAACTTTTTTCACAAATAAACCGTGCCGGACTTTAAAGGAAACACAACAGTGTGATGGGTGAGTGGTTTTGTTTGTTTGTGGCGTTCACGGTGACTCTGGGCTTTGTTCAGTTGTGGCGTGTAGGGAGGGTGCTGTCTGGGACCAACGGATTGTCGTTTCGCAGTGACTCAGTTGTTCAGTTGTGTCTAGAAGTGGCACATTGCACTCGCTTTTTTCGATTCGTTCCTTCCGTTCTGTTCCTTGTCGGCGTGGAGTGATGAGTGTGTCTGTGGGTGTTTGTTCTCTGTGCGGTCGCTGTCTGCTCCGTGTGTGTTTGTGTGTTCTGTGGGTGGTGCGGCTTTGTAGTTTACTGAAGTCGTGCTGGGACACCCGAGTGGATTCGTGTATGGGGCGCTCTGGATTGTGGCGCGCGGTCGTTTTTTGATGGGGTTAGAGGCATAAGAGCGCGTCTAATAGCCCGGAAAATACGGTAACTAAACACATTTTAGTTATTCAGCACAATACGTCAAATTCAGAAATCCTTTGGCGAGCTACTTGGAAGGGCGTGGAGAGCTACCAGTAGCTCCTGAACTAGAGGTTGGAGACCCCTGGGTTAGACCAATCACATTGTTCCTTATACCTCCAGACCCCACCCCTCGTCCTCCTCATTGTCCACTCACTCTCTTCTTTAGTTCCTCCAGGTATTGGCTCTATTCACGCTTACGTCAAAAACCAAGAAGACGTTTGGAAACATGCGATGACAACGTCCAATGTAGTTACCGACACTGAGCTCGCCGACGGACTGTGAAATCCATGGATTCAGCAACCTTTAGCAGCAGTCTTCATAACCTGCCAAAGCTTTGCATGGGGAACATGGAACAGACCTAATCGCGATCTTTGATGTCACTTAGAGGCAGCTCAAAACTAAAGAAAGCCTACAAGTCCTTTGTAAAAAAGTACTTTAGCTACCAGGGTAAGTATTATTTGCCGTCAAGTTGAGATGAATACGTTATAAATTATTTAATTAAACACAACTTTGATTCTGCATTTATAGCTAGATCTAAACGTGAACTCCATGATTTGTAAACTGAAAACTGAGGTATGGTTGGAATTGTTGATTAGTCGAACATGACGGAACACTAATGACGTGGAGATTAAGAAAACTTTTTCTCATTTTTCCTAGATTTTGTCAGACTTACCACCCCAAACAGAGCCCGCGGGAAGTTGTCATCGCATGTTTCCAAATGTCTTCCTGATTTGTGACGTAAGTGTGAACAGAGCCTATTGCCCAGTTCAGCAGCTTTATTTGAAATGCAGTTGTGAGTGGAGTTTGGGTGTTTAGTCCCACTTTAAAGTACCCCACAAACATCATAATAATCATACTAGTAATTAGTCATACAAGTAACAGTTGTCTCCTGATTACAGTAGTAGTACAGTAGCTCAATTCTGCAGCTCATGACTCACATAGTAGTGGCTCATGGTGTAGACATTGTTCTCCAGGTGACATTTCCCGTCGTTGGGGAGGACGATGCCTCCCAGTTTTCCATCTCCAGCAAAATGGAAGCCAGCGTCTGTGGAGAAGACCAGGAGGCGGGTCACGTTCCTCCAGCCAATCAGGTCCTGCAAAACAACACACAATGGAATAAATAAAGTTAAATGGTTAATTAAAAGGTTCAAAAATGTTGACTATCTACTTGAAGTCCAAAGTTATTCCTCACAAACTTGTGCATTCCAAGCATCATCACGTTGAATTTATGAGCGATTTTCACAACTTTCAGAGAATCTGCCATTACAATAGAGCTAACAAACTAGTATGCACTTCCTGATTATCGAACAATAAAACGCAATTAGATGCAGATGGAAGTACTGCAGATATTGTTGTACTTCCTTCACATACAGAAATGTTTTTTCAATATCACGCAGCCATATTCATAACTTTTATTTAAGTTCACTAGTTGGATTCACAAATGGAATGAAGTATGTATTTTTTTATTTGAAGTGCTATTTGATTACTCTTCTGGTTGTTAATTTAGCGTGAAAAATAAAATAACAAAACTCACACACATATGAAAACATTTGAGTAAACAGATGAGATCTAGTTACAGCTGCTTCAATAAATATTTCTGAGTTGTTGTTTTAACTAGCGTATTGCACAAATGTATTTTTATGGTGCATTCAGATAGCACTGAAAAATGCTCATAAAGGTGAATTTTAACAGGTCACATTAAACTCTCAATTTATTAGACCTACTTCACAAATCAGCTCGTAAATTCTCTCATAAAACACCTCATATAAACAGATGCTTCAAGTTAAAACAGTGAAACATTTTTATAGTGCGTCTTACCCCACACACGGCCACTTGCATGATGGCGTCAAAGCCCCCCTCCGGAGAGTCCAAGTTCCCCGAGATGTGCTGCTGGCCCACCAATGTGTTGAACTTCTTGCCGTCGCTAGTCAGCTTCAGCACGTTCTTGTAGCTGAAGGGGCTGGTGCAGTTTTGGTCGCCCGTGCACGGGTTTAGCAGTTTAGCCGGGGTGGTGCTGATGTAAGGCATGACGGTTTTCTCCACAAACGAACCAAAACCTGAGAAGGAAGAGAAAAGAATGATTTTATTTTTTTGTTTTGATAAATTAAAACTTTATGAGACAACAGACACCCAAAATGCTTCTGGAATTTGGAGAGTTGAACAGAGCAGGGGCAGTCAACTTGGGTGGTAGTGAGTCGGCTTGGGTTACAATAAAACCTGACACCTGAAAATGCTGGAAAGTAATAATCAGCTGGTTGCCCATTGATCCAAAGGTTGGTGTATTGAGACCTCCTCCCACTGGAGAACTTGGACAAGTAGCTACTACTAATAGAGAATCCTAAAAACAACATTTTACACTAATCTCTACTGCATAAAAGAAATGAAAACATATTAAGAAAAAAAAAAATCTGTAAATTTGATTTGATAAACATTTGAAAGTTGCCCCCAATCGTGTTAACTCTTAATTCATCAGACAGTTTCACTTCATAGAAACCGTCGCAGCATTTGGATTCGTTCGCTCAACGGTACTTTTTTTATTTAACAAATTGTTGCTATTTGGTTGTGACATATGTAATGCGCCGCTAACGGGGCTAACTGGTATATTAAGCTTTTCCCAAATTCCGAAGGAAGAAGGACAATAACGTCTTTCCCCTTGATAAAATTCACCAAACATTCTCTTTGTTCTGGACTTGCACTTCCGGGGTTTTTGCAAACCGTCTAGTGCAGACATGTCAAACTCAGGCCCAAGGGCCAAATTTGGCCCACAATATAGATATATTTGGCCCACGAGATCATGTCAAATGTGTATTAGAGCTGGCCTGCCGGTTGCAGACATTATTTATTTAAAGTGTTGTTGTTATTGTATGTGATGCTTGTTCTAGAATCAATGTTTAAGCAAAACTATTTTTAAACATTTATTTTAATAAGAAAAGGTTTAACATTACATATCTCGAAAGAAGAGAAAACATATAAATGTTGTTGAAAATTTTCAATAAATATTTAGTTTGGCCCACGACTTAGTCCCACTTTAATTCTGGCCCTCTGTGAATTTGAGTTTGCCACCCCTGGTCTAGTGTATTCTGATTCCTGACCTAGTCGCTGAAGAGAAATGAATGAAATTGAGCGGCGGCACTAGGTGGCGCCAGCCTTGCTAGTTCACTCTATAATCCAGGAAAAAAGTTCAAGTTGAAAAGCTGAAATAGTCTGTGAATATAAGTACTTGGGGACAATTATTGACATTGCTTTACACTTTGGAGCACTTTTTTGCAGTTTTCTGTGTTTGGTTCAAAGACTTTTTGGACTTTTTTTTGTTCTTTTTAAGTGAACTCCTGTAATGTCAGTAATCTATGGTCAGTTCTTATGACTATGACATTTAATTTACATTTTATGTTGTCTTTTGAATCAGTGCCCTCTCTGTGTCCAGTAGAAATCATCGGGCCGGGTTGGTGAAAGTGGCAGGTTAAATTATAGGGTTACCGCAGTCCCAGCTGCATTACGTTTACAGCAGAAGGGTGATTTGCAAGGCCCAACAAATAATGTAGAGCCCTGAACCGGCTCTTTGAGGAGTTTAACCTCATTCCTTCTAAGAATGTGCTTTTGTAGCTCGGGTCAGGGGTGATGCAATGTGGTATCATTTACTTGAATAATGTTTGTCTATTTTTACTGACTGTACTTCTGCAGCTTTGAGCCTGAGCTTAAGATGTCATTTAGTTTTGTATTGTCCTGTATGTGTACTGTATGTCTGCTGCAAATCAATTTCCCTTTGAGACAATAATTAAGTTGAAAGTCAAATCCCATAATTAGCCATGTGGAAGTCATAATTTTCCTGCAAGTCAACTCTGTAACCTTTGCATCAATATAAATTAAACCATGTTAGAAAAGCACATGTTGTGTCAGAGTGGGCCCCTCACCTATCCTGAAGTCTGACGTGATCTTTGACATCTCCAGCATCAGGCTGGTGCCCAGGTTCTTGACGTTCTCCAGATCGTCCTTCATGGAGTAGGACAGGTCCATGAGGTAGTACAGGTCAATGGGGTAATCCTCGGCACGCTTGAACTTCAATGTAAACGACTGGGGCTCACCTAAACAAAGATATTTTATTTTAGTAGTACAATCAGGGACATAGCTACCAAGAATCATAGGGAAACATCTTGCTTGACACTATCCCAGACACTTGACTGTCATGGTGCACTTTTAAGACAGTCATAAAAGCAAATAGTAGGCAGAGATGTGAAAACTATAAGGAAACAACCACATAACACTCCCAGACCGTAGTTTTTGCGTCATGGTGCAAAATCACAACGGCAGAAAGCACTAAGTGGGCTGGGCTAAAAGTTAAAACTAAATCATGTTCCTGACTCTGGTTTGAAATGAAGTAGAGGCCCTCTAATTTCAAAATGCAAAGAGCACTTAGATTGGGTGCTTCCAACCCTAAGGAATGGCTGATGAAAGAGCCAATTACCACAGCTTTTAGCAATGTGACACTTGGCATTCTGAGACCATAAATGTGTGAATGTAAATAATATGGCTGTTATGTTTTTGGTTGATTCACGTCTATGTCATTATTTCAGGGTTAGAGTCTCAAAAATTGATTTGAATTAAAGTGAATTTGGCTATTTGTGCAAGTGAAAAAAGAGCATACACAATAAAAAGTAGAGACCCATGAACTGATCCTTGTGGTACACCCATATTCACATTGTCAAAAGGAACACTAAAATGTTTTCCCTCCAAAGCCATAATAAGTATTCAAAATAAGCAGTGTGATACCAGAGCGCAGGAGGAGGTTGATCTTCTGCGGCTGGATCTGCGTGATGTCTTCAGGCTCGAGTTTCTTCTTGTCCGGACCCTTGCCTCGGTTGGTCACGGCCTTGTTCTTGAGGATGTTCTGGTCTCCTCGTGGGTTCTCGATCATGTCCTCTGTGCATCCTTTGTTTTTGAGCGATTGGATTTCGTCACAGCGCGTTGACACAGTTTCACCTTGTTTCAGGAATTTCTACAGACAGCAAAGTTAAAGAGTTAGAACATTCAGTCCAATGACAAAAAAAACTTTGGTATCATATTTAGTATGAGTTTAACATCTGCTGCAGTGATTCATGATGGAAGTGGACTCAGATTTTCAGTTCTTCTTTCTGCATAACTGGACAGGGTCAGAATACCGTTTAAGGAAGTAACATGAAAACTGTAGAAAATACTTATCATCACGGTAAAGCTAACAACAACTAGCATGATAACGCCCACTTCCTGATTATCGAACAATGAAACCCTTTATAATTACAGCACATATAGATATATTTTGAACTCAAGAGCTGCTTACATCTGTACTGGGGCAAGAAAACATTTACATGGAAGAAAATGGGTACAGGCCTTTAATTTACTACAGATTTAACGTATCGAAGTGGTTCTATATTTAGGTCCTTTAAATTAAACAGTAAACCATTTTACCAGTATTGTTTTATTGGTTTAGGGGTAATCCTTGACAACTGTTGACAGCTACTTTTATTCAAGTTAAATACTTGAAAAATTACTTATTATTTACATATTTGTGTTAGTTGAGAACATTTTGAGATGAAATGGTCCTTATTTCATACAGTGGTCACTAAGCTTAAGTATAGAGTTTGATTTATGCATTCATGGGTGCATTCGTATTTAGGCTACGTTTAGATAGATAGATAGACTTTATTTGCACATATATTAAAAACAACATTTTGAACAGATAAAAAGCCGAAATGACCATCGATCATCTCCCTTATAAACATGATTTGATCACAACAGTCATGAACATGGTGACGGTCTGAACAGAAGATGCAAAAGTGGCGCTGGTTCTTCACTTTTTGTTCTGCATTTAGACGAGCATTTTCGAGAGGAAATCTGCATGCATATTGTGACGCAAATCTGTGTGGAATTGGATTGGGTATGCATGCATATCCAGTAGTATCTATGCATATTCAGTATCTATGCATATTCTATATATTCGTATATTCATTAGAACATACATTAGTATATTCAGTATCTCTGCATATTCTGTACATATGTTGGGAGCCTCCTGTAAGTTTATTAAGTGTAAGTCCGACGCATGAAAATGATCGGACATGTTTCTGTGTACTGTATGTATGTGACATTAACGTGTACACGACGTGAGCAGATCTGACCAGAGTTTTGTGTCTTGGGCAGTGTAGATGGAAACATTACGGTGGAGCATATTCAACTTTTCCACTCTGGAGGGCAGTTTTACATTTTTGTGTTTTTAAGCCCCAAAAACGTCATCACATCTAAACGAAAGACACTTCAGATAAAATATTAAGCGTTCTCGTGTAAACAGGCCCTTACTCACATTGCACAAAAACGAGTACAGAACTGAGACTAGCCCTGGACTTAAATCTAGTCTAGACGAGGACTAAACCAGGACTAAAACAGGACCAAACCAAACTCAACCCAAGACCAAACAAGAACAACTATGAACACACCCTTTCACGCACACAAATTTTAAGATAAACTTAAACTAGACAAGAACTGAACTAGAACTGAACCAGGACTAATCTAAGAACGCTAATTCTTTCTATTGCAAACCACTCTAAAGTATAATTGACACTTCCATGCAGTGACAGCTCTGTTATTTATACATACAGGGTCTTTACACCAGCCACACTTGGCCCCGGCCTGGATGCACTCCCCGCAGAACTTGGCGTTGGCGCTGATGCACTCGTTCCCCTCTGGAAAAACAAAGAGAGGAGGAGGAGGAGAGAGAGTGAGTGAGAGTGAGAGTGGTGCAGGGGAGGCAGCCTATAAGCCCTCCGTGTTTATACATCACTGGGTCTGGAACGCAATAGGAAACAAGAGACATGGGCGGAACCTTCTGGCTTTTCCATTAGTCCATTGAAAGGTGGAGCGAGCTGCATCTCTGCCCGTTAACATCATTATACAGAAGGAGACATGAGAGTTTTCTGAATGTACATTTGTCATTCAGTGGAGTAGGTAGTAGTGCTGTCAGGATACAAAAACTTCATTAGTACAGAAACAGAACTCAGTACTCACTACCTCTTCTGATACAATGATGATAATAAAAACACTCTTTCTTCAGACAACAGAATGTGATTTGCAACATCAAATCTACTACTTTCTTATATTATATGTTATGTTATTACTGATATTATGTGTCCTAAGGCCTTATATGTGTGTAATTCCTCAGTAGTCCAGGTAGGTTCCATTGTTGGTTTATACTAGTTTATGTGTTCGTATACTTGTTCTGATACAGCCGGGGGTGTAGCGGGGTGGTACACAGTGGTACGCAGTCCACACACTTCTCCTGACATGGGATATAAAAAAATAACAAATATAAAATAGCTACAACTTAAATGTCAAATCGGAGCTACTGGCAACGGTGAAAACTACCTGGATAGACTCGTGATATCTGCACTACTGTCCTATAGTGACCTGAGACATGAGGGACCAGAATTGAACCAGGACTAAACCAGGACTAAAACAGGACTAAACCAGAATTAAGCCAGGACTGAGTGTCAGGGCGGGCCAGGAGGTGAGCAGTGTAGACTGTCGGGTGACCATAGGTTCTACGCCCCATGAGGCTAAACGCAATCGTAGCCTGATTGTGCTTTGCGGTCACCCTGCTCCATGGGCTTGGGGTTCTCTCTCAAGTCCAAGATTAGTCCTGGTTTAGTCCTGATTTAGACCTGGTTTAGACCTGGTGTAGTCCTGGTGTAGCCCTGGTTCAGTCCAGGTTCAATCCTTGTTTAGTCCTGGTTTAGACATGGTTTAGTCCTGGTTCAGTCCTGGTTTAGTCCTGGTTTAGTCCTGGTTTAGTCCTGGTTCAGTCACGAATCGCACACCCCCTCTTAAAAAATCTGGATACAGCTCAAGATCATTCTAACTCAGAGCTGAGCATTGTACAGCTCTGGAACCACACACTGACTCTGACCGGCCCGTTTAAACTCATTTGGAATTACAAAATAAACATATTTATCATTTTACCTCATGGACTAAAGCGGCATTGCTTTTATTTTAGAGGCGTTTTTTATTCATGTACAAAATGATGCAATATATAAATCAAGACATGAGCCTGCAATTCATTTTATGCAGAAGTGAGTAAAGCATTTTGGCCTTCCACTATATTTTCTGTTTCTCATGTGGCTCCATGGAAAAATAATTACCCACTCCTGTTCTAAAGCGATTCAGAAAAGCTGCATTTCTGTCCTGTCAACGTGACTTTTTGAGTACTGATACTTGCTCAAACTAGTATCTAGTTTCGATACTTATTTTAGCAGCGATTAGTGTTTGGGTTTCGGTACTTTTGACAACTCTAGTAGATATTGTTGTTGTGATACCAAAATTTCATACAGAGACATTTGTGTACATAATATGTATACATATATACATACTCAATACTGATTTGGATACTCTTACAATAATTAAACATAATACAAACAGTTTTTTACTTCATATTGTCATGTGGCTGGGCTAATCGCACTTTTATCTCTCATAGTGATTGATCATGTTCAAGTGAAAACAGATAAAAATGGTGATAAAAACATTTCCTGTACAGCAAAAAATGTCTTTCCTGTGATTGGCCTTAGAGCTCTTGATTGAAAAGATCCAAGCACATCATTGACGAGAAGCAAATACTGAATTTCAAATGTGATAAACTGCACAGTATTACAGTAACTTCAATTTTCAAGAGAAGCTTTTTCAGTTTTATTTTGTGATCAGACTATTTGTGATACTAAGAAAAGTCCAGCTTTGTCCTATGTATGTGATTTCTTCAGCATAATTATTTTGTCTGGTATAGAGTTTTTCACAACCCTAGTATGTAGAATGTTTTTGTGTGTATATGTGTAAGTGTGTGTGAAATGGTGCTGCTGTGTGTTAAGACCATGTAAGAAAGACAGTTGATAAATGAGATGACCACAGCATAAACTCGGGCGCCTCATTGACGTGGAATGTATGTCAGTGTCACAGTTATTAACCTCTGTCCAAAGAAACACGACTCTGAAGACATGACAAATACATCACATTTAGTCCAGTTACAAAAAATCCTACTTTTTGGTGACTCTAATGATTCACATGTTTTATAGATCTTTTTATATATCTAAAACTACAACACTGTAAGACTGGATGTATGGTGGGGGACAGGCTTGTCAATCATCTGCTGATCTGTATACTGATGATTTAGTTGTTCTGTTGCCGGATAGTGCAGGGCTACAGCAACTGGTGAGAGTCTGTTCAGAGTATGGGATGCAGTATGGTATAAAATATAATTCAGAAAAGATTGTTGTCATGATTGCCAGGATGAAGGAAGATCAAAATTTAAGCTTCCCCTCTTTTTATTTAAATGAGAATCACTTGACTAATGTAACAAAAACAAAATACTAATTTCTATATAATATTATAATATATAGAAATGACTCCTGTGATGATGGCATCCAGCAACAGTGTTGCAAACTGTATTCACAAGCGAATATTCTGGCACCCAAATTCCATATGTGTACTAGGGTGACCATATTTCCGTTTGTGAAAACCCGGACACCTTACCGGGGGTGGGAGGTGGAGCCTCGACATTGAACTACTCTCACCTCGCAATCTGTGCACATGGCCTCCTATTTGTCCCGACCGGGACGGAAAACAGAGAATTTGTTGTACAAGTCATTGTTAAATGCACATTTGCGTTTCGGCATGTTGCATGCTGACCAAGTGTTTGTGTCTGCTTGCTCCTTCTGAGTCACAGAGAGCTACGAGAGCCGCTCAGTTTAATGGCCCAATGAAAGGTAATGAAAACCCGGACATTTCTATCACTTAAAAAAAAAAAAGAAAGCCGGACGCCCAGGACAGGACATTAAAAAAATGGACATGTCCAGGGAAAAACGGACGTTTGGTCACCCTAATGTGTACAAATGATGCGAAAATGACTCTTTTTAGATCATAGTGTACGCCACTGTACACAGCTCATCTATGGTGTAATTACAGCAAAGTAAAGATGAATAAGATTAAGGTGGCAAAATTATAATGCTCTTAGAAAACTGCTAAAGACTCCAAGGTGAGAAAGTGCTAGTGCTTCATTTGTGACTGCAAATATTCCCACGTTGCAGGCTCTGATGAGGAACCTCACGTATAAATGTATGTGTAGGTTAAATGAATCAAGAAACGGAATTATAACATGTTTGACTGATATTAAGGAAAGTGACACCCAATATTATTCTGACACCTGGAAATGTTGGAAGAGCCAGCTGTATGTATTTTAATTCTACTGAACCTTAAGTAACTGTAGTTTTTTTATTATGTGTGTGGGTATGTGCTGGTGGGTTTATATACGATTGTAGGTGTGTGTCCTTCTGTGTACCCTGAGTCTGTAAATAAAGTTATATACAGTTACAACTACTATCTTAGCTATTTTAAAGATGTCATTTTTTCTGATGGAAGCCAGGCCCGTCATCTGTTTAATCTCTGTGGATGTATTGCTTGACCTAGATTGTTTAACAGTAAATTATGGTTTTCAAATTTATCTCCATGGACAAGTATTAAGTATTACAAGCCAGATCTGTGGAGAGGTGATGCTGCTCACAGTAAAAATATTTGTTTTTTGAGATGGAATTGAATAAATGCCAAATGGAGAGGTTTAATGTCATAGTGCGGATCATTTAAGACAAAACAACAACATCTCATTGGAGACAAACAGAAAGGTTATATAGTGCATCTTTAACAGAGCCTATATTACTATTACTTACTAAAGTTCCATTCTGTATCAAGTTATTGAAAAGACTCAGCATCATTTGAACATGATGCAAATGAATGAATGAATACATGAATAAATAAATAACATTATTTCCTGTATGAATGAGCTGCTGTTCTGGGTGACCTATGATCTACACTCTGTTTCTGTAAAATGAATCTCTCTTTCCAGGAAGGATGATGTAATCTTACCTTTTTGTGCACTGCTATAACAAAAGACTCCTAATAATGTGGATATCAACAGCAGCTTCAGGTCCATCTGCAAAACACACACAAAAAACAAGATTCATTAAGTCAAGATAAAGTAATCACATTTTTGCAAGATTTATATAAAAAAAAATAAGCAATGGGACTTCAAGGACACATGCTTTTTTCATTGATTTAGTTTTGAATAATAACATGTGCAGATAATAATTCTGAACTGTTTGTGAGCTGTTTGTAGATCAAAACATTGATCTAAACCGGCTTAAAAATAGAAATGGAACAGTTTTCTTCCTGTTCAAAACAACAGAACTGTCCTCGTCCTTCATTTAACCATAACAAGCAGCGTATTTTTTTACTGGATAAGAGTTAGGCTTTATGAAGTTTAGTCTTAATCTTCAATCTTGCAAAGAATCACAATTAAGTACAAGGATGATGAGGGTAGGTGAAAAAAAGAAATCAGAGAAATTAATCAAAATTCATGCAACTTTTTGTATATGATGATATTTTCTGTTCTGTTATAATCTTGTTTCCTCATCACAAACAGACCTGGAGTTGTGTTTTGTTTCATTCACATGTTTAACACACAAACCATTTAGACTGAGTTCTTCTCTCAAACAGAAAACACTGTGTTTCACCTTGTGATGTCATTTGGTAATACAGGAAGTGCTTCACTGTGTTTTTAAACTCCATACACTTTCATACTGTTGTAGTTAAGACCACAATAATCGAGACTAAGACCTGTTCGAGACCACAGGGTCACCGAGACCACGCCCATCGAGACCAAATCAAGACCATCTTTGTAATTTTTGACATTTATTTGTGTTTTACAGTTATTTTGGTACATATATATCAATGTTTTTATAAATCTATCTAGATTTTATCACTTGTCAAGTATCAGACCTTCAGACCGAGTCCAAGCAAAATATGAGGCTATTGACATGTTTAAAAGCTCAGAAACGTCAATTTTGCATAATTTGTGTTTGTTAATGAGTCTTATTTGATTTTTTTTAAGTATATATAGGCTGCTGAATGTTCTAATTTTACATTCAAAGCAACAACTGTGACAGAAGCCGTCAAGTTTCATAACCGTGTCATTTCCCGTTAGCATAGAGCCACCTGCACAAAGCACAGATCTGATTCAGTAAATGGCTCTGTTATCGCAGGCCATAAATACTCCCGAGGCTTCTGGTCTGTTCTATTTTGGTCTGCGGCTAACGGGCTAACGGCTAACTCAATCTCGACCACTTTCACAAAGGCGGCGCTGCCCTCTGTGCCCTCTGTACCATTTCCCATAACCCCCTTTTACTGAGAATAGCAGTAACGGATTCCACCCCCTTTGGTCCCGTATTTATTGATCTCTGTTCTCGAAGGCTTTTCTGGTCGAACGATCGTAGCGTGTGTCGTTCTCCCAAATGCACAGCTCGTGATTTAATAATGAAGTGAAAAGCTCTTATGCAAAAATAGCCTATTAACTACAGGCCGCAGATATGCTAACAGCTACGGGTGTTGTAATTATAGCCCAGGATGCGTTTAGGGCTAGGCTAGCACGCTACATGTGGCTAATGGTGAGTTTTAGTTAGCCTACTGAATCAGTGGTGGAATGTAACAAAGTAAAAGTAGTAAAGTAGGCTACTTAAGTAAAAAATTTAGGTAACTGTACTTTACTTAAGTTGATATACAGTAGATTTTTAGAATTCATAACTGGAACACACCCGGATTGGGATGTTTGGTATAAATAAAATTGTGAAAAGAGCACGTAACATTTTAGCCTGATTCATCAGCTGGTTTTACTTTGTGGAAACTGTCTGACCTAACAGCATTAGGATTCATTCACTCAACAGTAGGTGGGTACTGTTTTTTATTTAACCAATCGCTGCCATTTGGTTGTGACATATGTAATGCACCGGAACACTCAGTGGTGTCCAAGTAACTGCCGGCATCACAGCTCTTTGCTGATTAATTGGTGGTTGGTCTACAACTTCCAGGTTTCTTGCAAACCGTCGGGTTCTGATTCCTGACCTTGTTGCTGGAGAAAAATGAAATTGAGTGGAGGCACTAGGTGGCACCAGCCTGACTAGTAGCATTTAGGGGTGTGCAAAAATATCAAAATATCAATATATCGTATTGTGTAATGTGATGATACAGTATCGATATCGTGGGTTGCTGTATCGACATATCACCAAGAGTTTTTTTTGGTATATTTTACTAAATGATTTTGTTACAGTGATACAGTTTTGTTGCTTTAAACTCATTTATGCGACATATTTGACATTTTCATTGTTTTGATGATTAAAATGTTTGTGTTTCATATGAACTTTGTACAAGAAGTGGTTTAACAAAGACTTTTAGTATCAACCATGATTTAGCCATTATTTTTTATGAACCGTATCAAATCGCTTTGAAATATATGGTATTTAACCAGTCGTGGGCTATGTGTCGAGGTATGTATTGTATCGGCAACTTCTGCCTTAGCAACATTCTCGTCTAATCTGAGGGGCTTCTGTCGCTGCATTTATTTATTTATTTATTTTTTTGGTTTATGGTCATTCTCTAACACAGTTTTTTGTATTTTGGCTGACAAATATCAATTTATGCTACTCTTTGGGGATCAGATTAACCAAAAATGTTTAGTCCTGGTTTAGACCTGATGTAGTCCTGGTTTAGTCTTAGTTTAGTCCTGGTTTAGAGACCAAATTGGTCAAAAATAGGGACACCTGGGGCATTTCTTGTATAAAACTGGGACAAATCATTGGTTTTGTATAAATCTGCTGGGACAGGGGACACAGGCTCAAAACTGAGACTGTCCCGTGTAAATAGGGACGTCTGGTCACTCTCTATTAGAGTGGATACTATTAACTTTGACTTCATCTAAGAGCATCTGAAGATCTGTACTTTTTACTCCACTGCATTTTTGGACAAGACTGAAAAGTAAAAGTACTTTTTATGACTGTTTGAGACCTGCTTGATTTTTAACAAATTTGTAGTGTGAGCTAACTCTAAAATCTACAAATATAAACAATTTTAAAAAGATCTATTCAGTTGTTTCTATATAAAAAAAAAATAATAAAAATCAGCACAAATCTATATCAAAATCACTACTTCAAAATATTTTTACATTTTACTCTTTAAGTGCATTTTTAAACTTTAATACTATTACTTAAGTAGGCTTTTCATGTGATACTTTGACTTTTATTTAAGTACTTATTTACTCCAAATCGAGTACTTCTTCCACATTTTACTAAATAAACAGACTGTCAACTTACTGCCTTCAAAAATTCACCATGTAATAAAATCACTTCACATTGATACAGTATTGACAGTGTTTTCTGAAGCAAAAGAAACTCACTGATTGATGATTTACCGCAGCCTGTTATGGAGACTAATGCTATTATTGTTAGTATAATGATTGTAGTGTTCAGTGTGCTCTTCTCTAGTGCGGATCAGAGGACGATTGTAACAGATGTGTTTACAGGCCACATTTGAAACATGTTGATTTGTAAAGGCTATTGCAAACACATGAGGCTTAACAGGGACGGAAATATGTCAAAAGTGGTAACACACTCTACTCAGTAGGTCATATGACTGAAAATGGATGGCAATTCAAACGCTATGATACGCAAAAGAAAACCGAATTCTGCCAACTGCACCAAAATTGTGTTTTGTTTGCTGTCTCATGTGAAGCTCAGAACCTCCAGAGTTCCCTTCCTGAGCTGCAGATGCTGCACTAGCATTGACCCATGACTGACTGCAGGGGCTGGGGTTTAGGGAGTGAACATTCAGATCAGATGGGACTAATATAAAAGAACTGTATGAAAGATTTAGATTTTAAATTCCATAAACATGACCTGTCTGTGCCCCCAGATACGAGGTAACTATGTTTAAATCAAATAGCTTTATAACTAGATAACAATTCTATTCTGATTTAATCTTAATTACAAACATTAAACATGGTGCCTGTTAGGGGTGTGCAAAAATATCAAAATATCAATATATCATATCGTTTAATGTGATGATACAGTATCAGTAGTAGAGTATTTTTTGGTATATTTTACTAAATTATTTTGTTACAGCTACAGTTTATGCAGGCACATTTGACATTTTCCCTGTTTTTGATGGATTAAAATATTTGTGTTTCATATGAACTTTGCCCAAGAAGTGGTTTAACAAACACTTTTAGTATCACAATCAAGAGCCTTTAGCCTTTATTTTGTATTGAACCGTATGGAATTGATTTGAAATATATCGTATCGAATCAAAAGTGCACTGGATATGTATCATATTGTGGCCTTTATATTGAGGTATGTATCATATCGGCAACTACTTAATGATACCCAGCCCTAGTGCCCGTGTTGTTTATGTTAAACTTACTCAAGAAGATTATCCAATCAGAAAGCAGAATGAGTCTTTTATTTGGGTTGTCAGTTGTAATGGTGAAATCCAGTTGGTTTAAACCTAAAACGTCTCTCTCTGATCTGAATGGTCACTCCCTAAACCTCAGCACCTGAAGTCAGTCATGAGTCGGTGCTAGTGCAGCCTCTGCAGCTCAGGGAGGGAATTCTGCAGGTTCTGAGTCTTCACAGCCTGTCTGTATACTGAGAATGAGAAAAGCTTAAGCCACTGGCAACCCAGATTCAGTTGTGTCTGTAGCACACTTTTTATAAACAAGGTATAAACAAAAGTTCTAGAGTGAAGACAGACATCTCTTTTTTAAACTGCAAGAGCGCACACTATATAGCCTACAGCACCTTCAACTATTCACTTAACTCAGACCTGCTCCTAAAGCTCCTGGGTCACATAGGGCCCTTTGGTCGACTCTGACTGGCAACTTTAAGATCATTTCCAACATATTAAACATAATAAACATATTTTATAATTTTATCTCAAGTTCTACAGCTGCATTGTTTTTATTTTAGAGGTGTTTTTAATGACATTTTTTGTAAAGAAACCTTACTTTTTCATTGCTTAATCATAACATAAACTCTTACCGCAGGGTCTCCCCAGGTTTGACTACCCCAAATTTAAGACTTTTTAAAGACCTTTTTAAGACCACTTAAA